TAACCTACTGTCAGCTAGGGACGACTGAACATCATGCTGGGATATGAATGTACCAGTCCATGTGGTCTTCCTAGACTTTGAGAAGGCATTTGACACTGTTCACCATGACCTTCTCCTAAATAAAGTAAGCCAGGCAGGTATAGGTGAGCCACTTCTGTCATAGTTAACGGACTACCTAGCTGACAGGCAATTTCGCACTAAGGTCAGCCGAGTCCGATCATCTTGGCACAGCTCGTCATCAGGAGTGTCGCAGGGTTCCATCCTAATACCACTGATGTCTTTGATTTTTATCAATGCTCTACTACGCCGTCTAAGCTGCTCGGCTCTCCTATAAACTGACGACGTAAAAATAGGGAGGGCGATAAAGTGTCAGCAGGACTCAGATAGGCTGCAGGAAGATCTCAACCTACTGGAAGACTGGGCGGTGGCCAGTGGCATGACTTTTAACCTGAAAAAGTGCAAAGTGGTGAAGTTGCGCACCTGTAGACTGCAGAACGCAAGTTACACCCTGTGCAATGAAAGCTTGTCCTGCACAACGTCGGAACGCGACTTAGGTCTAGTTCTAACCGAAAAAATGGACACAAGCATAAATTACACGGGGGATGTAGCGTGGGCATATGCCTGAGCTCTTTCTAAGGTTGTACAAAACATACGTCAGGCCACACCCTGAGGTGTATAATATTATTGCACGCCCAATGCTTAGAAGAGACACCAACCTGTTGGAGAGTCCAACGACGGGCAACAAAAGGAGTGGTTGGTCTCCGAAACAAACCATATGATGAAAAGCTGAAGAAATTAGGCCTGTTCACACTTAGTTACTGTCGGCTTAGGGGGGATTTGATTACTGCCTACGAAATAACAAATGACCGGAATCACCCAAACAAAGGTTTTATACCTTTACTTTGACTAACTCTACCTTGTAAACTTCTGAACTCAGAACTATACTCTGAAACTGTAACTCTCTTCTCCTGCACAAACTGTGGTGCCGCCTGTGACACTTTATTCAACAATGGCCTACTGGTTGCAACTACAGGCTTCTTCACTGCGCCATTATCGTCACACAATTCGTAGTCAGAACTTGATGACGCTGATTTCACATTTAGCTTACCACTAAACTTGCTCACCGATTCACAGTTCACCGTTGTATGGACTTCTTGCAAACGTGTAAAACACAACCGTGTTTGTCTCGCAACTTGTAACCTATCTGTTGGCGGCGTCCCACGGAACCTGTTACACCCACTAAGTTTATATGGATTACTAGACCCCATAGAGCCTTCTTGATATCCAATTCTCTGAGACCCTTTCGTCATCAATGATTGCGGTTTGCCCTCAGACTGCTCTACTCTAGGGGTGAGATTCAATATACTGGCAAACTTGCTCATAGATTGATTGATGATATCTTTTACCAGTTTCAGGATATCATCGAACTTTTCTCGATACCTCATCTTCACCCACTTCATCTGCAGTCAAGTAGGCAGGCGTATCGCGATTACTTCTAGGATAAAACTCGAGTTGCGGTCTCCCATGCGATTCATCGAAATCAATGGATTCTTATAAGTCAACAGATTATCCAAAAAACTCAGTGAGTGCCTTGGAGTCATCTTGTAATTGACCGCCATTACCCCTAACAGCCTCGAATAATTTCCCTACAATCATCGAAGTTCTTCCGAATCTTTGACGCAGTATACTCATAGCCTCAGAGTATCCTTCTTCATGGGTCATCAACTTACAGCACTGGATAGCTCTTGAAGCAACTCCAGTGCAATATCTCATCGAATACATCAACTTCCTTTCATCATTTAATAAAAAACTACTCAACTTCATTTCAAACTCCTTTACAAACTGTGGATAGTCAGCTGGGTTTCCGTCATACTACGGGGACTCAAATTTAGTAATTTTAAACCCTCAATATCCCTAAACGGCAAACCATGAACAACAGACTCATCACGCTGAACATCATACGTATCATTGCAATTAACAGACAACTCAGCATGACTTACTTTCTTGCTTGCTTCCAAGACGCTTTGTCCCTTCTTTGACTGCGGCATCATTGAACTTGACCAAAATTCCAGAAACTTTCCAGATAACACTTGTCCAAAGAAGAATGGCAAGCACCAGGAATGAGAAACGGAATCTATCGAAATACTGTCAGAAACTGTTGGTCAAGTCTCATACACCGTCAATGTCCATCTCTTGCTACGCTGGAAATCACACTGTCCCTCGAAGATTTTCAGAAATGCTTAGTATAAGCCGAAGCAAAAACCAAAACACTGTTTGGCGACTCAAGAATTCTTTATTCTGGCGCCAACGTATAACCAGCAATAGTGGTATTACAGAGTGAGGTTTCTGGCAGTTTCTTAATCTTCCTTCTGAAAAGCGACTGATGAGACGATGGCTGGTGGATTGATGACTCCGCGAAAAATATGGAGGAGTTGCGTTTGAGCAAACAACCATGAAATGATGGTTCAATCTTCAGGTACATTCACAGAATTCATTTTAAAACAAAGGTAACTCAGGAGTAAGCGAATGGATGAGTGGACAGAGAAGCGTTAAGGGAGAAAACTTTCAATATGTTTTTGCCTGCGTGATTGGTACGTTTCTTTTTGGGTTAAAGGCGGTGGGGTCTCTCTTCCGAATCCCAGAAAGTTTGCTGAGGTAGCAGACAAAATGTCTCTCTAAAGCATACCATGGTCAACATGCGGTGGTTGTGGGAATCCAAAGTGAGTGGTTCAGTTGTCGATCCTCGGCCAACGCACACTTGATATCAGTAGTTGGTCTGCTATATTTAGACTGTCTATATCACACTCTGAAAATTCAATAGTTACTGCGTGAAATCAAACTATAACAAATTAAAAAAATAAATATCCACTGTGATTGAATTTATTCGTTGCAACCGCACTACTTAACACCATTTTGTAAAATGGCCAGTCATTACTATGACATATCGGTTACCCCTTTTGAGACTGGAAGTAGCCCCATTATAATAACGTCAACTCCCTAAGTCCGTACTTCGGTTAACATGGGTGCAACAAGTGCTCCAGGTATCTGTAAAGGCTTCTTACTCCGCCTAAAGACGTTACGGTTTTGGCATAACGCTGCGACACCCATATGAAGCAGTGACCGCCGAAAGAGATGAAGGATTTCATATTCCGTCTTCCACCAATCAGCACGATCTAGCCAGTGGTGTATTTGGCTAGTAACCTCCTGTATTTGATATCTGGAATTGGGAGAGGCGGTTCGGATGTGGTGCCACTACGCAGAGGGCATCGTCTACTGGGGGGAAGCAGACACTATTCTCCGCAAATGCATTGCGGAGAGAGAGCATCGGCATTTGCATGTCGTTTCCCTAGGTGATATTCATATGAGAAGTCTAACTCCTGCAGACCTTCTTCCCAGAAGGTAAGTTGGTCCTCTGCATTGCTAATCGTAGGAAACCACCAAAACTCTCGATGGTCCGTCTGAACCTGAAAGTTGCTCCCCAATAAATATTGGCAGGAGTAACTTAGAAAATACACACGAGCTTAAATCTTACGACGGATCAAGGGATACCACGTCTCTCCACATTCTAGTGTCCGCCTAGCACAATCTACAGGTTGCACGTGCTCGTCAGACATTTCTAGTTAAGTAGCAGCTCCTGTTGCAGAAGCGGAGAAGAAACTGGGCTACACTCAGAGTCTAGTGTAACATACGTGAGAGGGAGTGTCTCATTTATGTAACAGCAATCCACGCACAGACGGGGTGAGCCACCTTTCTTCTTAACAAGGTCGACAGGATGTGTCTACGATGAGGTAAGCGGTTCTCCAACCCTTTTTTGTAACATTCCGTCGACCATCGCATCCAGCAGTTTTTGGTAATAAGGATCTGCCATGTTAGGCTATCTCCCATTTTGACCTCATTTCATACGACGACAATGCAGGTAATAACGTGACCATTGTCAAACGCATCACCAAACCCCTGAGGCAAAGCCAGGGTGCCTGCGCGATCTTTTGAACCGAAATGGTGACTGGCCTCCTTGTGTACCATTGTCACCTGAGGTAATGTTCAAGAGTTAGTCTAATGATTGTGGCTATCAGATAGACTAAACGAAAGGCCATGCGAACCCTGACGCTCTAGGTCGATTACAGCTATGTGAGTTGCCAAAAGGTCAAAACTTAATATTATGTCCTGTCTTCTGACACCACAAACAACAAAGGGATGAGTGCAGGTTATTGTGGTGGACCTTTTACTCTGTTAGCTTAGTTACCCAAATTCAAATAGAAAATAAAGTACCAAATAAGTTTAGTTACGGAAGAATGTATTAAAGTTTGGTTACTTGGGTTTACAAAGATCCAAAGTCCACAATAAACGTAATAGACTCCAGGTGCTGCGGGAAGACTGCTCCAGTACTAATTCTCCAATGTTGACGTTGCCGGAGGTCGACCAAAGCACGTAGGAAGAACTACGGTGCTCCTGCAAAAATTTGAGATAGAAAGCAGGTGATTAAAATTGATCGACGGCAGTTGAGATGGTGGAGAAGACGGAGAGTCGAAGGCAGAACTATAAATTTATTCAAAACCCAAGGTAAAGTTCAAAGTACAGAGTTTATGGTTAAAACAAAGTAGTGTACAATATGTTCATTTCTTACATAGTAGTAAAATTTGAATAAGTTTAATTTTGAGGACTCCACAAGGTAAATTCCTGAGTGATAACGGGTAGATGACGGTGTTAGTTATCTTGATGGGGGCTGAATTTTCTGCGATTAGCTACAGCCTACGGCCTGCCTTAATTGCTATACAATCCTGTGTAGTCAACGGAGGATGATGCTCCGGTGTCAACCGGTGTACTGACCGAGTTCTATTTTGTGTGAACAATTGGACCATTTAGGAATTCCCCACTGTAGAAATTAATCACTGGCTCAGGATCTGCGAGCTTTGCTTCACCATTACTGTAGGCTTGAGATGTTATTCCTGATCTACAAACCATAAATATTAATTGGACATTGGTCTTAAAAGGGAGGCTTTATGAGTTTCGCGTTGCATCGTGTTACGTTTTTGCTAAGACGCAAGTTTCAGCTGTATCCTTGTTCAAAATGGTTTTCAATTATTGGAACTAAATCTCTAACAAACACATTTTGCAGTGACCATGATTTAGCGAAGATTGTTTCTAATGATCTAGTTCTGAAAGAGAATTTCATAACAGAAGAGGAAGAATCAAACTTGATAGCTGAACTAGATTCTGTGCTTCTCAGGAGAAAATATCAGACAGAACACTGGGATTATGTGAGTTTTTATACTTTTTTCTGGTTTAATAACAAAAGAGTGATGAAATGTTTTTTTGTCTTTGCTGCATGCTGTATCCTGGGGAAACATTTTGAGGGTTTTGGAGGTAATCGGGGTTATTTTTTGAGAGTATTTTACATTTGACTCAGCTTTGAAGCACCTCAGGTGCATATTGAAGTGTAGGGCTATCCTTCAAAGTGATTTTCTTACCCCTAAATTTTCGATGAGATTTTGTTTTTCATTTGACGAAATGTAATTCTGTAGCAGATGTGGACGTGTAAAAGAGAGTTATGTAGTTAGGGGTGATGTGTGTGTTGAGAATTTAAAGTTCAAATATCTTTTATAAATGTGACAAATGAAGTTGGGTAAAGTCAAATTGTTGCAGTCACCTGACTATATTTAACCTCTGCCGCTGGGGAACCGTTAGGAATTAAGCAGCAATAAAAGTCGGAATATTATTAAAAAAGGTGACTATAAGTCATGATGCTCTGCAATCCGTGTGTATTTGCGATGCTGTACTTTAATCTACTTCAAAATTCCAGTCTTGTCGAAAAAATTAGTTTATTTGCCCTGTATTCTTGTATAAAACGTTAAATAAACAAACTCGCTCAAATTTGAGTAATTACACATGGAATTCTAGGAGGTTTGGTATCACAGAAGCAAAACCATATGAAACAAGAAATCTGTGAGATGGGCAGAACATACGTGGGATTCCTGACTCCTGAATGATTCTACATTAAGATACATTGTCCCACGTGACCTTTTTTACTCCAGGAGGTTCATATATCAAGTCTATTGTTACGAAGGTGACTGAGTCTTAGAACGATGAGTGATGCTTAAATCTTGAAAAGACGAATAAACCAAGAATTTAGGCTTTATTCATTTTACAATGAAGCCGGAATGGCTCAAACGTATAGAGGAAAAAAAGTGTTAATAGCGGTAGAGATATGAATATGATTAGATACGTATTATAAGAAAAGTTCACAACACCTATCACCCCTAACACAAACGGACTGTAGTCTGTATTGCAGTGACCCTCACTACAACGAATGATAATATAAGTTTTCCCGGGACTTCAATAAAAAATCAACTAAGTGTTGGTATCAGGGAGGTGATAACTGCTCACGAAGCACACGGTTCTGTGTTTTCTTACTGTTTTTACCTTGTTGTTTGCTTCTCTCTGCTACTACCGTACTCCTCCTAGCTTAACGACCGCTTCCGTAACAACACTGTTCCTAGTCTTTTAAGATCATGCTACCAAATGCTTGTCGGCATTTTTGAATCCCGGATCTTATGTCAAATCACAAAGAAAACGAGCAGCTATGAAGTCGTTGCATATCCAGATTTTCGAAGAAAACATTAAGTCCATATGAGTTAATGACAGTGTGTATCTGAACATGAGAAAGTCTACTACGGAATCAGTGGAGAAGACAGACAATAGTTTGACACTAAAGCATGATAAAAGATTAATTTTTTAAACACTGACTGCAGCGGACTTTGGACATGATAAGGAGAAAAAGCAGTTCAAACATAATTCCATATTAGTTTGTTTATTAGATGTATTACAGTGTAACAGTATTATTTACTGGATGACACCGTTTGTTTCAAGTCTTCTTAGACGAGCAAACTCTTTTATGTTAACGGATGAGAAAGGAAAAGAAGGGAAATACCAAACATTACAAAGTTCTCAAGCATAATAACGCCTACAACAGCCTCACGCTTACCTTTTACCTAACCGATTGAGTGGGAATATGGACATCGATCCTCCAAGCACTATCTAGGCAGTTGTTAATCTACAATGAGACAAGAGAGCATTATCTGATGGTTGACTCCAAAGGTATTTAACGGTAGTGGCTAAATGAACTAGATTAATTGTTTGTTCACGATATTCCAAGAGCTTTATTTAAGATTAATGTAGATTGTTAATTGTTCTGACCACTGGGCTATCAACTCTTTAAATGTAATGTAGGAGGTTCTAGGGTCTAGAGCCTGGAGAAGTTGAGAAAAGTAATCGGATTTTGTGCGTGGATGACGATGAAATTGATCGTCTTACTTTTACGACAGATTATGGAATTCGGCCACCTTCAAAATCGGCCGGCATTTCTCATGATTCTTGTCCAGAAGAAGGCATTTCACTTCATGGATCAAGTGGTGTTGCTCTGTTTGGCTTTGATGAAAACACTGCAGAGAAAATATATTGTGTCAATCAAGACAGTCTTCTCGAGTTAACAAAGCCGTGTAAGGACTTATGAAGTTTCCAAATGAAGTGACGACAACTAGTTATGTTCCTGTGGGATGCTCATCGTCCCCATTCATGTAGATGTAATGGTGAATGTGATCCTAGTCAAATTCAATGTCTCCGAGGTTAGTCATCTACTGCAGTTAAGTCCTGTCGACCTATATACAGTTCTTTTAATTGAAAATACTGACAAATTGCTGTTTTCTTAATATACTGTAACTGAAATCTGAGTAAGTTTGGTTTCTATTTCCTTCATGGTCCGATCCCCAGAAAAAGGACAAGAAGTGAAATAATTGACCATTTCATTCATTTTGGAACATACAACTACCTTGATGGACTAATCACTGGTGAGATTTCAGCACGTATCGAAAAAACCTGTTTGAGAGGTAAAGTGTGCAGCTACCCATCAAACTGTATCTGTTGCAAAATACTTCTCTCTATCCTACTTTATGAATGTGACACATGACCTCTAAGAGTGGATATGAAAATGTTGATAGTCTTGTTGTAAATGCAGCAGTATAAGTAACAGTGAGGTATGGCACAAAGTATTGTATAGGTGTGACGAATTTCGAGCCATCAGTCGCCTCCACAAACAAGCAACCTTAACCGAAGTAGCATTTAAGCTAGGAAAGCATCACAATAATCTGTGAAATTCATTAGTGTTTGTTTGACCCAACAGGGTGGTGGTATAGGCTGCCTTAAGGTGCAAAGAATTACTATTTAGAGATTTCTGGTCATATGGCATAAAGTCGTTTACAATGTCATGAAAATATTTTCACTCCTTTGTCACTGTTAAATTCTTAAAATTATTCACTTACCTTTGCTTAATTATCCCCATTCCCATTTTTTATCTCTCTCTCTGTATTATGACGATACTTTATTTTTCAACTTTTGTGTTTTTGCTGAATGATTTTGAGATATGACCATTGAAAGTAGAAGATATGAAAAGGCCGGCTAGCTGTCTTCGATCATAGGTGACTGCCTTGTATCTCCCGCATTAGGTGGTGGTATAATAAGGTGAGGCATACTGAGGTTAAGCATCGGTCGAGTACAAGGTAAGTAGGAGGGAAAATCAATCCACGAGTTTGTAAAGTTACACCGATTGAGATGGTTAGTGCATGTGTTACGTATGCTTCGGCACCGCCTTCATCGACAACGGGCAATGTTAGCTGACTGACATAGGATAGATCAGGTTGGAAAAGAGCTGACTAGTGGTGGTAAAACCAAAACATGTTATCAGTCCATGAAATATTTGACAGTTAGCTGAAGCCACATGGGGAAGTGCAGACTTCCTGACCGGTTGAGATACTCAGGATGATAAGAACCAATGAAGACTGGAGACAATCTGTGAGCTGGCTCAAACTCATTGTTGTCAATGGCTGGCGCAGATGCATCCACTCCGTGTGACTTATAATATCCAATAAAACTATAAGTTTCTTCTATATTATTATTCCTTTTGCCTCATATTTCTGTTTATTATCTCTGTTTTGAATCTCTTTTTACTCTCTTCTCGTGCTTTGTGTGCTAAGTCAAGCCTAACGACTCGAACTGCTGCACTTCGGTGCAAAGTTCTACGTTGAAACCTGTCAGTTAGTCACTTACTAACCCTTCTAAAAAGTGACCTAAATGTTCACGACATAAAAGAAGGCTTACACTAGAACACTTGCTTTGTTATTTGACCGTAAAATGTTACCGATAGAAGTAATTTCTGCTAAAGGTGCGTTTTGTTTGACAACTAAGTCAACGAATAAAGTTGTAAGCCTATAGCGACTGGCGTGTTGTAAATTCGCTTAAGTGTTTTACCTCTTACTGGTGATTTCAGGATCTAAATCCTAGGCTTTCTCACGTGTCATATATACCTTACAGCCTAACATTGGAAAATGAAATATGCACTGAGTATCGTTTGAGTTGGACTGAATATCCATACTACTGTTAACTTACTAGTAATCGAAATAGGAATATACTCGAAGACAGAAAAGACTGATCAAATTAATGTGCGATAATGGTTCATGAAATCACTAACCATTAGTCTTAGTGTTATAAGAAAGTGTGAAATCCTCAGTTTGAATCCACACATGGTCACAAGTCTGTAATCCTCCACACTAGTGTGCATGTACATTCGTATTTTCTCTTCATCTTAACCATAAAATCACACCTCTTCATTCATCCCAGAAGGCTAGTTTCGCATGTGCTAGTTTACGCCGTCTCTGGCGTAGACGTGATATCCGGCTGTCGACCAAAGGGTGTATACTTCTCAACAGTTCGCTCTGTCCTCTTTTATGGCTGTGAGACCTGGCCATTGCGAGTGGAAGGCATGAAATTGCTAATTGTCTTTGGTCATAGGCGCCTGGATTGTATCTCCCGTGTGAATTGGTATAACAGGGTGAGCAATGTTGAGGTTAGACATCGGTCGAGTGCTAGGTAAGGAGGGGAAATCAATAGACGAGGTTGTGAAGCAGCTACATCGGCTGAGATAGTTAGGACATATGTTAAGTATGCCTAGCCATCGCCTTCCTCGACCGATGGACAGTTTTAGCTGACATAGGGTCAAGCTGGAAAAGACCTAGTGGTGGTCAAACCAAAACATGTCATCAGTCAGTGAAATCCACAACAGTTAGTTTAAGCCAGTCACAGGGAGGTGTGGACTTCCTGCCTACGTGGTTGGGGTCCTCGGGATGGTAAACACCAGTGGCTGGAGACAATTGGTGATATGGCTCATACTCATCGTTGTCAGTGGCTGTTGCAGATGCATCCATTCCTTGTGACTTATAGTATCCAATAAAACTATGTTGTTCTATATTACTATTGTTTTTGCCTCGTATCTTTACTGTCTCTAATTTTCATTCCCTTCTACTTTCTCTTGCTTTGTGTGCTACACAGTGTGTGGCGAGTCTAACTGAAACCAGTCAGTCAGTCTTTATTCGTCTTACTCTTTATTATTTTTGTCTTTAAGCATTTTCAGACCAAGTGAGCAGTATCAACTGTGACACAGGATTAGTTTAGAGAAGTGTTAGGTGGGGAGGGGCGATCAAACCGAAACCTAGCATCCATGACGTCTTTGACAGTTAGTTTAAGCTAGACTTGTTGGAAGGTGTAGACATCCTGGTTCGAGTCCTCAGAATTCTAAGAACCAATGGCTGCATATTATTATCGGTGTTATGGCTCAAAGTCTTTCTCAATGGCGCAGATGCATCCCCTGTTTATAACCTTTCAGTGGCACCTTTCAGTGGTGGCACCTATGGAGTTCCGTGCCAGCGAACCGACAACGGTGACCGTCTCCTACAGTTCTGCTCTGATAATCATTTGTTTCTTGTAAGCACTAACTTTAAACACAAGGAGAGACACTGTTTGACTTGGAGACCCCCTTCATCAAACCAACGCTGGACACAAATAGACCACATAGCAATAAGCTATCGTTGGCGTGGGTCGGTAGGAGATTGTCGCTCCTTCTGGAACACGTGCGTAGATACCGACCATGCACTGGTCCGCGCTCGGGTGTGCTTACGACTGAACGGACGTAGGAAACAGCTGGCGGTAAAACCATCACGTCCCCAGCTCGATCAGGAAACTAAATCCGTATTTCAGGAAGAACTAGCTAAACACATATCTGTGTTCGACAGCTGTGCTCACCCTGAAGAAGCTTGGAAAAATATCCAGGCAGCCATAGATACAGCTGTAAAAGCTGTGAATAAGGTAAACCCAAAGGTGAGTAAAAACCACTGGATCTCCACCGCCTCATCCGAACTGATAGATGCTAGAAGACTTATTCCGGCGAGCTCCGAATTCAATGAGGAGCGAAAGCTGCACAAGAGGAAACTTACGAAAAGTCTCCGCAAGGACCGTGAACAGTGGTGGGCGACAAAAGCCAAAGAGATGGAGAAAGCTTCGAGGATAGGCAACACCAGGCAACTCTTTGGACTCATCAGGGAAACGGGTGGGAGAAGACAAATCATCAGTGAGACAATCTCGGAAAAAAATGGCACTATAATTAGCTCACAGGATAGACGACTGGATCGTTGGAAAGAGCATTATGAGGAGCAGTTTAATTTGCCCACAGCCACGCTCAACCTTCCGAGCATCCAACACCTCCCTGAATGGGATATAAACACAGGTCCTCCGTCACTAACTGAGGTTACTAAAGCTGTCACCAATCTGAAACTAGGCAAAGCAGCGGGACCTGATGGAATGACTCCAGAGGTATTTAAGTACGGTGGAGACAGCTTACTGTCCGGATTAACTGAGGTACTAGGCAGCGTCTGGGAATCAGAAGAAGTCCCATCGGGTTGGTGTAAGTCACTGATTATCCCCATATACAAGAAGGGAGACAAGTCTTCCTGTGATAATCACAGAGGGATTAGCTTGACTAATATAGTATCTAAAGTCTTAGGCTCAATAATCATGCGTAGACTGAGTGGTGCTCGGGAAGCACAAACACGAGAGAGCCAGGCAGGCTTTAGACCAGGAAGAGGGTGTATTGATCATATCTTCACCCTCCGACAGATTCTAGAACATAGGCATTCCTACCGGCGTCCAACAGTCATTATATTTCTTGACCTAAAGGCAGCATTCGACTCTGTCGATCGGGAAGTTCTCTGGAGATGCTTGGCTGTAAAGGGAATTCCAAGAAAATATATTGCACTGATTAAGGCACTCTATTCGTACTCATACAGCCAGGTGAGGGCTTACGGCGAGCTGTCATCTGAACTGATGACGACCAGTGGTGTCCGTCAAGGATGCCCATTATCTCCTTTTCTATTCAACTTCATCATAGATGTGTTAATGGACTTAACCCTAGGTGACTTCAGCGACTCAGGGATTGACTTGCTACCGGGGAATAATCTCGTTGACTTGGAATATGCAGACGATATAGTCCTTCTAGGCGAAGACGCTGACGAAATGCAGAGTCTTCTAAACACCTTGAGCCGCAATCTACGAATGTTTGGCATGCGATTCGCTCCCGCCAAATGCAAGATGATGTTACAGGACTGGACTACATCGACGCCTAGTTTAAAAATAGGAAGTGAAGTGGTAGAGCACGTTGACCGCTTCACTTATTTGGGAAGTACCATCAGCCCCAACGGGCTGATCTCTGACGAAATCTCAGCACGAATACAAGGGGCTCGTTTCGCATTTGTTAGTTTACGCCGACTCTGGCGTAGACGAGATGTTCGACTATCGACCAAAGGGCGGGTGTACTGCTCATCAGTCCGCTCCGTCCTCCTTTATGGTTGTGAGACCTGGCCACTGAGAGTGGAAGACATGAAAAGACTAGCTGTCTTTGATCATAGGTGCCTGCGTTCTATTTCCCGTGTAAAGTGGCATAATAAGGTGAGCAACATGGAGGTTAGGCGTAGAGTTCTAGGTAAACAGGGGAAATCAATCGACGAAGTCGTGAAGCTACAAAGACTGAGATGGTTAGGACATGTGTTACGTATGCCAAGCCATCGCCTCCCTCGACGAGCAATGTTAGCGGATATAGGGTCAGGCTGGAAAAAAGCTAGCGGCGGTCAAACAAAAACTTGGCATCAGTCAATGAAATCCACAACAGTTGGTCTAAGCCACGTAGAAAGGTGTAGACTTCCAGGCTGGGGTCCTCGGGACGGTAAAAATCTATGGTTGGAAACAATTGGTGACATGGCTCAAAATCGTTCTCAGTGGCGCAGATGCATCCACTCCCTGTGACTTATGATCTTCAATGAAACTGTTTTGTTTTTCTTTATTACTCCTTTGTCTCACACCTCTGCTCACTGTTTCTATTATGCTTTTCTTGTACTTTCTTCTCTTGCTTCGCGTGCTACACGGAATGTGGCGACTTGAACTTCCGCACATTTGTGCAAAGTTCTATGTCGAAAACAGACAGACAGAACCTTTCAGATGTATTAAATCCTCACGGTTTTCATCGGTAATATTCTTTCCCACGTAAATCTCTGCTCATTATAGTTCTTTGAAGCGTTTCTTTCCTTTCCTCTACTCATCTGTGCCAATTGGAGTATGGTAACTTAAAGTACTGCACTTCTCTTAGTGCAAAGTAGTTCCATGTTGAAACTCAATTGGTTATTTTTAGACCATAACTGACTTTATTTTTATTCCTTTACCTTTATATCTGCGTAATTTGCATTTGTAAATTTGTTACAAATTGTGTTATTATTGTTATTATCTAACAATATCTAGATCTTATATTAGTTGTTTCTTATTCCCCACCCCCCCCTCCACCAAGGCAATCAAAGATTTTCGTGAGTTGGAGCGTCGAAATTGGAAACCCGTTAATCAACCTGTTATTCGTCGTTTAAAGACGCTGACTGTCGACAGTCTTTCAAACAATAAAACAAATATAACTGACAGTATTGATCAGTTAGTTCTTCCACTAGTTCATGTTTTAGACCTAGCTGAAAGTGGAGAGATAATGCCACATGTGGATAGTGTTAAAGTGAGTTAATGCATATATATATATATCCTGTTAGGGAAGTGAATCAGTGGTGTGATTATAGGGAAATAATAATAATAGTAGTATGAAATGCAATTAAAACATGCCCCAAACAGCAGAGGCTATTGCAATTCGCTTCAAACAACCAGTGCTCTATGTTCAAAAAAGCAAGTCCAGCCCCTACTACTGCCTTGGCCTTCAGTAGAGATTATAAATTCATGAATTTGGAATAATCTTTGCTAATTCTTCTGACATTCAGCTTATTTTATGTTGATGCGATCCAGCTGTAATCTATCAGTATTATTGATTCGATGTTATTTAAACAGGATTAATGTTGTTCATCACACTAATTCATTCATTCACTATAATGTATGCATAACTGTAGAGGCTGACGATAACGTTATCGAAAAGAGTGCTCTTTGTTCAGTATCCATTCTTTTGTAAATTCAGATATTATCGCATACGTGTTTATATTATTTTCACAAAGGATAAAAGCATCATTTATATACCGGCACTAAAATTAGACTTTTCTGATCACCACATTGTTCAAAGAACCATTTTCTAAATTACTCGCTAAGAAATCGGTCTAAATTCCACCCGTTGGAGTGCTAATCGCCACTATTGCTACCTTGGCCTTCTATCAAGCATATAAACTCATAAAATTTTTTTCATAATAATTTGCTTTGTTCCAAAAAACAGCGCTAATAATACAACAGCGAAGAATTTTCAGCATTCAGTAGAATATTCCATCTAATTTACTCAAAAACAACAAAAATATGAAAATAAAAATAAACATTACATAATAATAATAAAAAAGTTCTTATAGCAGCTATATAGCAAATTACAGTACGCAATACGGAGAAAATTATGCATAAAGTATAAAATTGTAGTAATAATAGTAATAACTGCCTCTATTATGCTTTTCTTGTACTTTCTTCTCCTGCTTTGCGTGCTACACGGAGTGTGGCGACTTGAACTGCCGCACATTTATGCAAAGTTCTATGTCGAAAACAGACAGACAGAAACATCATTAATGTTGTTATTAACACTAATTCATTCATTCATTCATTCATTCATTATAATGTTACATGTATATAACTGTAGAGCCTGATGAAGTTATCGAAAAGATTATTCTTTGTTCACCGTCCATTCTTTTGAAAATTAAAACATATGTGATTACAATCATAGTTAACTGTCAACTGGCGAAACAATTAATGTCACATATAGAATAATTCACAAGGTGTCTGAGTGTTGGGAAGGGGTGTGTAATTATAGAGTTAGTAGGCTAATATAAAAAGTTACGCAACATGGTGTGTGTGTATGTGTGTTGTCAAGTGCTTTTTTTATTCCTTTACTTTCCTAGTGGAACATAGCGAGGGCTTCAAGCTAGAGGCTTGAAGTTTCAGTAGCAGTGGCGTTTACTTTTACGGGATGTGGTTGCTGCCAGCCCCATGCCCAATTCTTCCCTTTTTACAAGTCTTATTACTGGCTTAGCGAGGTAAAGGAGTGGCGTCGGTGGTCGGTGATTGAACCCCGAACCACATTAGGCGTGGTTGGCGAGCATTCCATCACTGTGCGACCGATGTACTTGTCAAATGCCTACTAACTCTATAATTATACACCCGATCCCAACAACCAGACATCTTGTGAATTATTCTGTATGTGACATTAATTGTTTTGCCACTTGACATTTAAGTATGATTATAATCACAAACACTTTAATTTTAATTGCATTTCATACTACTATTAATATTATTATTATTTCATATATTCACACCACTGATTTAATTCCCTCACCGGATATAATTTCTTAGAAAGATTGTACAGTTTGATAATAAATTCGTTGTTGAAATAGTCTCTTCGCTGAATATTGTGTTCCCATTGTGTTACAATGGGAATTATTAAATTATTGTAAATAGTTCAGATTCTGCTGTTATATATACTACGAGACCAGTCCCTAGAAGTAAGATATTCTGAGTAGTTTTTCTTTCCTCTATCTTCGTGTACTACAGTTTGAATGGCTGCACTTCTGTACAGGGTCCTGTGTTGAAACTCAGGCAGTCAGTCAGTGTGTTGCTTTGTCGAATTAGCTTAGTAATCAATCACGTATGTAAAAGACTCACTTTTATTACTCTGAAATCAATGTGAAAATTTGCGGCAATCAGCTTGCATATAAAACAAGATTCAGATCTTCAACACCAATGCTTCCCTATGGTTTAGACACTTTGATGTGCGCGTCACAAAGAGCATTTCAGACAGACTGTAAACTTTCATCACCACCTACTTTCATTCTGTACTGAAGGTTGGAAGGCCAGTCGGTGAGGATAAGCAACAAGGAAATTTGTTGACAAACCGACCCAAAAACTCTTGACCTCAATAAATTGACAGAAAGAAATAGAGATGGGTTAGGATATACGTCGAGGAGACCGTTAACTGATGACATCATGCTCTAGGGAGACCTTCGGAGCGAAACCTGTAAAGGAAACGAACTAGTTGAGCGTCACTTCGACGGTGATGTAGGGGAATCCGTGTTAGGTGGAAATGAAAGCTTATGGAACCAACCAAAGAAGACTGAAACGAGTAAGGTTAGGTGAAGATGTGGTGTTAGAGCCCCGGGGTTCCCTTAGAAACCCAAGGGAATAATAATAATAATAACAGTATACGCCAAACTTTGAGATAAGAGTACCCTTCAGGGTATATCCAACTCACGTTGGTTTCTGTTTGTATATCTATTGAGTTGTAGGTTGTTGACCGGTTCGCTGTCAGAGTTTCTTCCTACCTATCTTTTCTAGCCGTCTATCCAATCGTGAATATTGCATACAGGCAAGTTTATTAACTAATGTATCTTTCTGTGTGTATAGGATTTTATTATGCCTGTGTCAAGTTCTTAGTATCGACTTGCAGTCAACGCTGAACGTGACTAAAGGTTCTCGTATTTATTATTATTATTATTATTATTATCATTGTTTCCTTTAGTTCCTAGAGGAATATAGGGCTTCACTCGCACGTCTTCATTGCGTTCGGTTCTCCACCAACGTTTTCACCTGCCTCCATGTCTGCCCACATGCTCTCATCTCGTCCTCACATGACCTCCTCCATGTCACCCTCACACTGACGACCAACTTGCCACTTCCCTTTCGGGTTCCACTCGAGCAATGGCCTGTCTTGTGATGTCACTTGATGGTTTCCTCAGAGTATGGCCACAATCCACCTCCATTTCTTCCTGCTTATATTTTGCACAATCAGTTCCTGCTGGGTTGAGTTGGTTCGTTCATCGCCAGAGATCCCTCCCTACTGGTGATCTTTTCTGGCCAGCCATCTGATCTTGAGTATTATTGAGCAAAGATAGCTAGCTGTTGATGGAATTGTGGAGTTTGTTCGAAGTGCTCTTCATGACGTGGAGCCAAGTCTCTGATCCCTATAGTAAGTAGCACTGAGTTCACATTGGAGTTGAAAATCCGGATCTTATATTTCACACTGAGTGTTGTTAACCTTGCCTTGCTTTTCCAATCCGCGCTTTGATATCCTCGTCAGTTTCTTCCGCCTGTAGTTGAAACAATACTTCCCAGGTAGGTCGGTAGGTGAAGGAAGTTGCTTCTTTCAGATTTCTCTCTCTTATGCTGATTGTTGTGTGTTGTTGTTGCTGTTGGCCAGGAATTTTCATCACCACATCTGTTTTCTCCATGTTCACCTGAAATCTTATCTTGTTGCTTTTCATTTGTATATCTTCCATTTCGTGGGAAATTAGATGTATATTATCGGCGAGATCCAGATCCTCCAAGTTTTTTGTGTGCGTCCACTTTATGCCTGTTTCCTCATTGTCCGTTGTCTGTCTCATTATCCAATCTACTGCAATCAGGAAAATCATTGGCGATAGTAGACAGCCTTGCCTCACTCCGGTCCTGCCTTCAAAGGCTTCCGTAAGTTTCCCGTTGTGGATTACTTGACATGCAGCATTGTCGTATAACTGTTGGATGAGATGTATAATTGTCGGTGACACCCCGTAGTAGCGAAGTAGTTGTCAAATGAACTCTCGCTCGACGCTGTCGAAGGCCTTTTCAAAGTCGATGAAGTTGAGATAGAGAGGTGACTGCCATTCCAAACTGTGTTCATTGATGATCCGTGGTGTTGCGATTTGATCGACGCATGATTTGTTCCTCCTGAATTCACCCTGAATTCTACTCAGTCCACCTTAATCTCATTTCACCGTCGTACATAAGGCATTGAATAGTTGGCTTAGCAGCGTGGAACTTTACACAGAAGTGCTGCAGCACTTTAAGTTTCCATGCACAAAAAGGTAGGGAAAAAATACTCCAAGAGAACCGTGATGAATTGCTATGTACAGAAGAAAAAATGTGTATGTGGAGAGTATTCGAGGATCCAATTAATTTGGAGCTCATAGTTTGATCACAGGTTCACATCAATTAGAGGACCGTTGAAAAACAGAGAGTATGAGGAATCTCTGTTTCGTCCTAGTTTGCGACTCTTCAAGGATACACATCCATGGCCACCACCACCACGCTAGAGATCGATTCCAGGAGCTTCTATTCACGAGACCAGCTCATTGAATTTAATGGCTTGGTGTATTCTAACGTCTTTCAGTTCTCAGTTGGTAGCACCATTGGCAGTCATGGGTGTCATTGGATTTGATTCCTGGGGGCTGGATGGTTTTTGAGTTCACTTGTTGATCACCAGACCCTAGAGAGTCGCAAACAAGGACAAAACGACTGTCTAGGACTCCTTGGTCTTCAGTGATGAACTTAGTGATATCGATTCGTGAGAAGATCTAACCTGAAGCCAATCAAACGTTTAGTGATTGATAATTTGTTAAAACGAGTTCTAATTTCTTTTTATTTGCCTGTTTTTACCTTTTTTTTTCTCCAGTTCTGTGGTGATTCAGTAACTGTTCTGAGTTTACTCTCTGATTGTATATTACGATTGGCTATCGCCCCTCAAAGTGATGTTGTCGGTATTCCAGAGAATCAGTGGGATTATTTACACTCGTTAACTCTTCCATCAATCGGTACCTGGATAGATGTTTTCATTCCCAGACGATCGGTTTATGTGATGCGTCGAGCACTACGTTACCTCTGTACGCATGCCATCTTGTCGAATGGAGAGGTGGGACGTATGCATCAGCAGCATGAATCAGTTGGCTTGTATAGCTCATCACCACGTGGACGACGTGTATCTGTTATCTGTCGGACACATGCAAACGATGGTCTGATCCCTTTCTATAATAATAATAATGATAATAATAGCAATACTACTATTAATAATAATCCCGTTGGCGTTGATGAACAGTCGTCTCTAAAGGTGAAGACATAATTTCGCGTTTCCATAAGTTTTTTTCCCATGTACATATGTATTTATAATTGTACTGTAATATGTAGATAAAATATAGATATTTGTTACAGGTTTTTGTCTTTTGTTTTACTGTACCAATGTCTTGTTTGATCATCTGATTTGTTTCTGAGATCATTTCAGATCAAACTGTTTGGATAAAGACTTTTTATATTATAATGATTATTATTCTCTTTCATTACTCTCAAGTCTGTGTGGAGGTCAACAACACTCAGTGTGAAAAATAAGAACAGGATTTTCAGCTATACGGATCAGAGACTTGGCTCCACGTCATGAAGAGCATCTCAAACAAACTACACACCTTCATCAACAACTAGCTGTCTTCGCTCAATACTACTCAAGATCAGATGACCGGCCAGAAAAGATCAGCAATAGGGATCTTTGTTAATGAAGGAACCACCCCAGCAGGAACCGATTGTGCAAAATATAAGCAGGAAGAAATGGAGGTGGATTGTGTCCATACTCTGAGGAAACCATCAAGTGACATCACAGGCCAGACCATTACTCAAGTGGAGCCCGAAAAGGAAGTGTCGAGTTGGCTGTTAGTGCGAGGGTGACATGGAGAAGATCATGTGAAGACGAGATGAGAGCATGTGGGCAGACATGGAGCCAGGTGGAAAAGTTGGCGGAGAACCGAACGCAATGGAGACGTGCGACTGAAGCCCTATATTCCTCTAGGAATTAAAGGAAATAATAATAATTTTTTTCTTGGGTTCTGAGTGGAACATAAGATTTCAACAGTTGACCAGTATTCCATCTTATTCTCTATAGTCCTTCCCAGTTGGCTCAACCACCGGCCACAAACTGATCTCCTTCCTGTCATCCTCAGAACAACGACGATCAACTTGTCGCCCCCCACTCGGATTCCCACTTGAGAGCCTCCTCAACTTGTGTCCAATCTATCCACCTCCATTGGCTTCTGCATGTTTGTTAGGCAATTAGTTCTTAGTTTTTATTCATTGTCTGTCTCAGTGTCCCTCACTGCTAATCCTTTCTGTTTGGCCATCTAATCTTCAGAATGTGGAGCAAGCGAAGGCGACTGTTGATAAAAGTCTGCAGTAGTCTGTTTGAAGAAAGGCTTTTGAGATGAACCTTGTGTGGTAGAACTGAGCAATTGAACATTAGTTTTTAGTTTTTTCCAGCGAGTCGTACACCTGGGAAAAAGCGGGGCGGGTAAGAAAGGGCATAACCGTCTCTTTCAAAAAATCAATCCAATTGTTGCAGAAACTTCAAAGCATAGGGACTGTTTTACTCTCTCCTATAGAATTCCCTTTGGTTATAATTATTATTGTTCTGATCTGTGATTTGGACAGAGTAACGAAGATTACGTTATTGTACAAGTGTTAATATGGTTTAGTGGGGCCGACTGACTTACTGTTCTGTAGGCGGCCGGCTTCTAACAACTATATGATATAGAAGATTTGTAGCTCAGGGGGATGATTTTGATGTGGTTGTGTTCGCTGAGCTGGATAGTTGATTTGCGAAGCTTTCATCGCCCCACCTCTAGGCAACATCTTCAGCGCATACTTCAATTTGAATTGAAGTGAGCTTTTAAATTTCTCCACGAGTTCACCATTATTCATCTCTCCTGGTGACCTCGGAAATTATTGGTTGTTTTTGTGTGTTTTCACACCTTGTAGGGTGTTACACCATGGGTTCGAACCCTGCTCCATCCAATAAATGAGGTTTAACCATTCAGGTAATGTGACTAGCTCTCATGCACACACACAGCAGATGTGTCTCATTACCCCAAATGCATATGGAAGTATGCAAGTGGTTGAGGTGTTGAGTTGTTTTTCATTACTTCGCGTCTCAAGTGAAACATACCACTTCAAGCTTGAGCGTGATATCTCAGTAGCGTTGGGTTTCGAGTTCTAGACTCACTCCCAGCCTTCCATCTTTTCTGGTCTGACGGTTGTCTTGTAAACGTTAGGTGAGGTTAGGGAGTGCATCAACTGAATCACTGGTAGTATATGCTCCTTACTGATTGATTGAATGATATGTGAATGGTTGGAAACTATTCACATCAAACAGTAGTGCTTACTAGGAAAACTGGAGTGATTCGAACATTGGACAGTCGTTTTGCTTGTTTGAGTTTGAGCTCATCAGTGGTTTATCTCGATCGATTCAGCCACCCACTTAGGTGAGCTTTTTCAGTTTCTTTGAGTAGTTTTCAACTACTCATAATATCAATCAGTAGTATGTAGAATCACATTGAATTTATTGTACTTGGGACAGTTTATAATGTGACATTTTCATCACTGTTGTCAACTGCTCTTCTCTAACTTTGTACTTCTTTTCTTCTACCATTTCTTTTGAAACAAAAGACCCAGATTTTAACAATATATACTTCAAAATGCTAGAAATAACGTAGGTGATGTTTCGGAGTAGAGTTCAAGAAGTCCTTAACTCGTAGACCATTCTCATTTGAACTGTGCATGAATGGATGTCCACTCAACTTATCAGCAGAAAATTATATAAGTGAGGAAGATTTAAATACCAGGGAGTACTGGACAGTTGTTTCGTCCTAATATGAGACTACTGTGCAGCACGCATCCATGATGCGCCATCCATCAGGAATGGATCCCAGGATCTTCAGGTTACAAGCTGATCTTGTATGCCATTCAACCGTTGGGGCAGATGGAATCCAATAGTAGGCTCGGAAATCCTAAGTCTAGAACTTGGGCGCTGTGGTAGAGGATAACTCCATTATGGATAAGATTTTATTTTGACAAATAACTTAGTATTGTACAGTAATATTAACTGATGACGTTTCGAGCACAAATTACTGCTCACAATCATATCAAGTAACTCGGACAACTTTTTGCCTCATGAGTAAAGCTGATTAGACGTATGAATAAAATCAATATAAGATAACGTATAGTGTGAATTGAATACATTTTAACACTATATATTATCCTCCTCTGATATGACTTACTGGTTGTTATAATATCTTCCATATCTCTGGTATTTGTGTTGAGTCACTTCGATTGCTTGTGTTGGGTGTAGACTTGACGAACAAGGATTCAGTAAACAACCCCTGTCTCTCTCCACCCACCTATCTCTATTACTCCTTAGAATTTTAACCCTCTCCCACCCTATTTTGTAGTTGTGTGTTGATGCAGACATTGCAATTGCTGAGCTTTTTTCCAAATTACCTATCTTCGTGGGATCAGTCATTCTAACGTTAGCGAAATTCTTATGTTCTGATAATCTCACTACTCCCGATCGACTCGTTTGGCCTATGTTGTTGACCTAACTCACAGTCATTGGGAGGTATATTGTAAATTATAATATTAATTTGTTTAATTGGGCCCACCAGGTTTTGTAACCTACAGAGCTTGTCCTGCCTGAGTGAGTTTGCAGGTTTGAATGCCACCCTAATTCCTGCTTTATTGAAAATCCTACGCACTTATGTATATCAATGAAGCAGACAATTGTGTTAGTAACTTGATATGATAATGAGTAGGAATAATTTGTGCTGGAAACGTAGTCATCAGTTAATATTACTGTACAACACCACTGTGTGACTTTATCATGAATTATAACTCCTACAAATTCGCTATATGTTGTAACGCTCACCTCTATTCAATGTTATCAGCGAGTATTTGGCCTGTCATCATCCAACTTGGCTCTGGAAATCCCTGCGCTGGTCACGATCAGTTGAAATCAATCAATTTTCAAGTATTGGTTTTATAGGGATTTTTTTTGATTGTATATGGAGGATTTCATCATGAACTGACATCAGTTAGAGAACCATTGGAAAACCAGCTGTGAGTACTGGACAGTTGTTTCGTCCTGGTGTGGGATTCTTCATCAGTACGCACCCACACTGCGGGGTTCGAACCCGGGACCTTCTCTTTACGAGGCTAGCGAGCTCGTAGACCATTGAGCCAATGGGACCCGATCCAATGGTCCTTGAATTCTAACTCCTGCCAATTCATGACATAGCGTGACCATTTCTCAATGTCTTCTTCGATGAGTTACTGTCTCGTCTTTGACCTGCTGTACAAATTCCCTACAAACCAGTACTTGAAAATAATGTGTACTGTTTTAAAGATTTTTTCGACACATTTCAATCTCTTTGATATCCGTTATCAGTAGACCACAGCAACTTGGTCTACTAATGCCGTAACCAAATCCCTACAAACCAATACATGAATACCAATGAGATGCTCACTGGCGACTGGCCTTATTCAGGTAGGTAGTTACCTGGAGTTCCAGTGGGAAGTCGTGACCAGTAGGGTGCAGCAGGTCGGGTGTGAGGACAAATACTCGCCGAAGACATTAGCTAGCGGTTGCGCTATATCGTGAACTGGCAGAAGTTAGAATTAATGGGCCATTGGATCGGTTCCCAGTGGCTTAATGATATACGGGCTAGCTTCCCTTGTAACCAGAAGGTCCTGATTTCGAACCCCGGTGGGTGCGTACTGCTGAAGAGTCCCAAACTAGGGCGAAACAGCTGTCCAGTACTCCCAGGTTTTCCAATGGTTCTCTAAGCAATGTCAGTTCATGATGAAATCCTGTAACCGATCAACCAAATCCCTACAAACCAATACTTGAATAATCAAATTTTTCTTTATTTTTTATTTGCATTAAACACAGAATATTAACTTTTAAGTCACAAAAACAGACAAACAAGCAACCATAGAATGGAAAACGGACGTAATACAAATCTTCGTAGTCTTGTCAGACCTGTCTCCCCATTATCTAGATGGCAGAAAGCACCATTACCACTTGTCGATGACAATGATGATGTTGACAGTGATTCCGAGAGGGATGGTCGTCGTAAACTGTTGTCGTCATCCACTGGTAAACATGGTAATCGTATCATAACACGAAGTAGAAGTCGATCACCAGCTATATTCTCCTCAGTACATCTTGCTTCAACTGGTACAACAACAACAACAGTCGACAGACCTCCAAGTGAAGAGACTAGACGTATTATTGTACGTCGTCCACCACACGATCCTGAACCAGACGATGATTATGCTGGAAAACAACCAAGTTCAAAGCATCAAAGCTTGAAGTCTACAGATGACTATTCACGATCACTTGTCACTGGTCATAATAGTAATAAAAGACGTACAAAAGATGAACGATCAAGAAAGGCAATCCGACGTTCAATGTTGCACAAAAATCATCGTTCTATCCCGCAGCCAATAATACCAAGTGGTATTGATCGAGAGAATACATGTCCTATCCTGTTGCGTATTTTTTATTCAACAAATTCACGGCATTATTCGCTATCAGATTATAATAAGGGGAAAATGCCGGAGAATGAAATACAGTTGAATACTTGGTATGTTTTGATGAAGTGGTTTATTATTATTATTATGTCTATTTTGCACTTTTTTCATGGTTAGGCATGACAGAGAAAGTCTTTTTCCGTCACCTTCATGTTGCGGCAGGGTGTTATAACTCCGCCGCCAGTTTGTTATGTCTGCGCCTGTTAATTAACTATAATGGCAATGAACTCGATTGATACGCTAATATATCTGCCTCTATTTGTCCGTTGTACCTTCCGATTCACTGAGCCATGCAAATATCAGAAGACAAAGGCCTGCTGGCCTGTGACATAGTTTAAGAAACAACGCACATTATATATATATGCATTTTCTTAACCATAATAAAGTTGACTCACGACGTTGGGAAATGTATTGTTCTTATTGTATTTAATTGGTGCATGGTGACTAGCAGTGGAATCCAGGATGCGCATTTCGTCCTATTCCGGACTCGTCTGCCAACTGAATGTACCTGCATTTCTCAGTGAGTGATGATATTCCCACCACCGAGGCTTGAACCCAATGCCCTAGTTTCAAACACCAAAGCGTTATATCCACTAGACCACTTGGGGGGGCGCTACTAGAGCCACCACCTCTTGTGCAACGGGTCATATTAATTATTCAATTGAATTTTAGATTTTCCCGTCGGTTGATTGATTGGACCGAAGTGCTCAGTCTCAGGTTAACATATCGGTGGCTTCTTGTGCAGATGCATCGACGATGTCTGCATTCCATTGCTAGTCACCATCCACCAATTAAATACTAATTTTAAATTCTGAGACATCGTCATAGCATCTGCAGAAGAAGCCAACAGACATGTCAACCTGAGACCGAGCACTTCGGTCCAATCAATCAATCGACGGGAAAAATCTAAAATTCAATTAAATTGTTCTTATTGGTTGGAAATATCTATCCTGATTGGTTAGTGATCAGACAAAGGATCGAGGTGAGACAAAAGAAGAAGACGAATTGGTCACACACACACACACACACACTGAATCACACAATTCGTGAGAAAGGATGATGAAGCACTATTTTATGCTGGGTCCGATCACAGGGATGTTCCTCACAAATGTGGTAGTGTGGATACGAAGGTCTTGTGCGCTTACAACTGGACTGGTGAACATGCACGTTAGTCTACCTGGGGGGATTCGAAGGCCCTGATCCCAAACCTATAGCGTATATACATAGGCTGCAGAATCTGAATGGTATATGGGTGTCTGAGTGGTACTCCAGCTCTTGCACAGACTATGAGATTTTGTGCAGCGTATCTTTTGGTGGCCATAGTGTTTCTAAGTTTGCTTTTTAATAATAATAATAATAATAATCTAGATATTGGTGATCGGCGAATTTATTTTCCTCGTAAGCTGTGTATCACTATTATTATTATTATTATTTTATCCTTTAGTTCCTAGAGGAACATAGGGCTTCAGCCACGCGTTTCCACTGCGTTCGGTTTTCTGCCAACTTTTTCACCCCGCTCCAAGTCTGCCCACACGCTTCCACCTCCTCTTCAAATGACCTCCTCCATGTCATCCTCACACTGACAACCAACTCGCCGCTTCCCTTTCAGGTTCCACTTGGGAGCCTGTCTAGTGATGTCACTTGATGGTTTCCTCAGAGTATCACCAATCCACCTCCATTTCTTTCTGCTTATTTTTTGCACAATCGGTTCCTGCTGGGTTGGTTCGTTGGTTCATTACCAGAGATCCCTGTTTCTGATCTTTTCTGGTCGGCCATCTGATCTTGAGTAGTATTGAGCTAAAACAGCTAGTTGTTGATGAAGGTCTGTAGTTTGTTTGAGATGCTCTTTATGACGCGCCAAGTCTCTGATCCGCCTAGTAAATAGTACCAGACCTCACATCGGAGTTGAGAATCCGGACCTTATTTTTCACGATGAGTGTTGTTGACCTCCACACAGACTTAAGAGTAACGAAAGCTTGTCTTGTTTTTCCGATTCTGGCTTTGATATCCTCGTCAGTTCCGCCTGCCTGTCTGTCTGTTTTCGACATAGAACTTTGCACAAATGTGCGGGAGTTCCGCCTGTAGTTGAAACGATGCTTCCCAGGTCTGTTAGGTGAAGGAGGTTGTTTCTTTCAGGTTCCTCCCATTTATGCTGATTGTCGTCTGTTGTTGTTGCTGTTGGCCAGGAATCTTCATCACCTCTGTTTTATCTATGTTCACCTGAAGTCCTATCTTTGATGCTTCTTCTACCGCCAACTTGTTGCTTTTCACTTTCATATCTTCCAGTTTGTGGGAAATCAGACATATATCGTCGTTGAAGTCCATTTTATGCCTGTTTCCTCATTGTCCGTTGTCTGTCTCATTATCCAATCTACTGGAATCAGGAAGATCATTGGCGATAGTAGACAGCCTTGCCTCACTCCCGTTCTGCCTTCAAAGGCTTCCGTAAGTTTCCCGTTGTGGATTACTTGGCATGCAGCGTTGTCGTATAGCTGTTGGATGAGCTGTATAATTGTCGGTGACACCCGTATTAGCGAAGTAGTTGTCTAATGAACTCTCGCTCGACGCTGTCGAAGGCCTTTTCAAAGTCGATGAAGTTGAGATAGAGAGGTGAATGCCATTCCAAGCTTTGTTCAATGATGATACGTAATGTGGTGATTTGATCAATACATAATTTGTTTCTCCTGAATCCAGCTCGTTCCAGTCATAATAATAATAATATCTTCCAATTTCATAAACTTATTTGTTAGTGGTGGTTCTGATTGTAGGTTATCTTCTGAAAAAACTGAAGAGTTTTAGAGAACTTTTTCCTCCAGTTGTTTATTGGATCCCGGGGTGTTAGGTTGTTTCACTTAAGAGTCCCAAACTGGGACGAAACAACTTTTCAGTACTCTCAGGTTTTTCAGTAGTTCTCTAACCGCTATCAGCTCGTTGTTAAATCTTGTAACCAGTCAATCAAATCCCTACTAACCAATACTTGAAAATCACGTTACTGTTCAGTTTCCAGCTACAGTAGATCAGTGATACGCTGATATATGATATGACTCATATTTACCCTATTGATTATCGATTTTGATTGATGTTATAGTGTAAAATCTGATTGTTCGTCAAGTTTTCAATGCTGGTATAATATTATTTCTCATTTAATTCTACAGGATTGATGCAAGTCTCGCAGAATTGGCTGAAGAAGTTCGTAGTGTTGTGCGTGTTGCTAGACGTCGGGGGACACGTATGCATTTTGCCGTGGTTTATCCTGACAGTCGTGGTACATATGGACGTCGTCAACTTGGTGTTGTGATTACCGGCTATGGAGTAAATTCTGGGGATAATTTTGATGAAGAGCCGAATAATGATGGGATGAACAACAATAGTAATAATAATACAAATTCACAGAAACCTTTCAACTTGGTTGATGATTCAGCAGTGACGCTTGTATCGAAAAAATTCCAAGTAAGTTTTGCTAAACTTTTTGAGTATATTTCATTAAAATAATTATACACCTCATCCAACAGTTGTACGGTAATGCTGCACTCGCCAAGTAATCCACAACGAGGAAACTTATGGAATCCTTCAAAGTGAAGACAGGACAGTAAGACAAGGCTGGCCTGGCTGTCTACTATCTCCAATGATTTTCCTGATTATGGTAGACTGGATAATGAGACTGACAGTGGAGAACGAGGAAACAGGCATAAAATGAACCCCCACAAAAAAAACTTGGAAGATCTGGATTTCACCGATGATATTTGTCTGATTTCCCACAAACTGGAAGACATGCAAGTGGAAGAGGATACAAGTTGGCAGAAGAAGCATCCAAGATAGGACTTCCTTCAGGTGAACATAGAGAAAACAGAGGTGACAATGAACATTCCTTGCCAACAGACAACAATCAGTAGAGATGCGAGAAATTCGAAATAAGCAACTTCCTTTACCTACCCTACCTGGAAAGCGTCGTTTCAACTACAGGCGGACGGAACTGACGAGGATATCAAAAGCGCAGAGTGTGGAAAAGCATGACAAGCATTCATTACCCTGAAGTCTGTGTGCAGATCAACACTCAGCACTCAGCATGAAAAATAAGATCCGGATTTTTAACTCGAATGTGAAGTTAGTACTACTATGCGGAATAGAGGCTTAGTGCCATCACAAAGGCACTTTGGACAATCTACAGACCTTCATCAACAGGTAGCTGTCTTCGCTGAATACTACTTAAGATCAGATGGCCGATCGGAAAGCATCAGCAACAGGGATCTGTGGCAATTATCGAACCATACAACCCAACATGGACTAAGTATGCTACAAATAAGCAGGAGAAAATAGAGGTGAATTGGCTACACCCTGAGAAAACCATCAAGTGGCATGACACGCCAGGCCGTTGCTCGAGTGGAACCCGAATGGGAAGTGGTAAAGTCGGTCATCAGTGCGTGGGTGACATGGAAGAGGAAGTGATGCGAAGAAGAGGTGAGATGAGGAGTGAAGAGCATATATCCCTCTGAATTTTCATTGTTTGACTTGCGATTTGTTGTTAGACTCATCTTACTTTGACCAATATTCACACTACTAGGTAAATGCGTGTAGACTTTTCGACAAATATTCTTGACATTTCACCTACAAGGATGAGTGAGCGCCATGGGTTTCTATCAGTCTTTCAATAGTAATTTTTTACTTAGACGTTGCAAAGACCATAGACCATACTTGCAGACAGTTAATCCTCAGTTGATTAAGTCAGATTTCGATTGTGCAGTTTTACCGCACAGTAAGACAATATCGTCTGAATACTCAAAAACGAATGGTGTTTCTGCTCAGAATGTTATCTTATGGTAAACTGAGGGGAAAATGTCAAGATTGGGTGACCTTGTTTAAATCTACTTCTGGCGATGGCAGGTGTTTTTTTAGGACCTAACTGTATTTGGATATCCAATAAATTTCCCCGGGATTTCTTGCCCTTTCTCTCTCTTTCTCTCTCTAACAGACCAACCCCAAAACAAAAACACTCCTGTAACATCATCTTGCATTTGGCGGGAGCAAATCGCATGCCAAACATTTGTAAATTGCACCTCAAGGTGTTCAGAAGACTCTGCTGCATTTTTTTCAGTGTCCTCGCCTAGAAGGACTATATCGTCGTTTGCATATTCTAAGTCAACGAGATTATTCCTTGCTGGTAGCAAGTCGATCCCTGAGTCTCTGACTCAGGACGAGTCCCGAGACAAAACACTCTTGTCCAACGGATCTATGGTGTTCATAATTCCAAGTAATACTTAAAGCTTAAAGGTGATGACGACATTGCAGAAATAGCCAACCGACGGACGATTTAAGAAGTTACTGGCTAGAATGATTCACATTTACTAGGATGATAGGTTCGTCTAAAAGTCAACAGATAAGCTTCATTTGACAGCTAGCGTTAGCTACCTCTATCAATTTGTGTTTTACTTCTTAGGCAGATATACTGGAAAAAGAGAAAGAAAGCCTTACCTTAGATTTCCTGAATGTATACTGAAAAGACTGTGTTCACGAGTATCCAACATCTTGAGTGGCAGTCATCCACACATAATCCGATTATTATGATTATTATTATTCCCTCGGGTTCTGATTGGGTAATAGGGCTTCAGTGACTCATCAGTATCTGGCTTTGTGCTCAGTAGACTTTTTAGCCGGCACTACAATTGCCCTCACACGATCTCCTTCATGTTTTACTCGAGATGAAATCCAACTTGTAGTTTCCCATTCAGGTTTCATTCAAGCGCCTTACGCGTAATATCACTCATCGGTCTACCTGGAGTACTTTCTTATCTGCTCCCACTTCCTTCTATGTATCTCTTGGACAGTAAGTTGTTGCCTGATGGGTGGTTCCCTGCGTGAAAGACTTCATTGTTGCTTTTCTTTTCTAGCTGACTGTCTGATCTTCAGCATTCAGCGAAGACAACTGTTGATAATAGTCTGCAATAGCCTGTTGGATATGCTTTTTGTGTGACACTGTCGCCAACTCTCCAAAGCTTATAGAAGCATTGACTAACTTGACATTAATTGTTGAACATTCGGATCTTCTTCCTTGTGCGCTGATTTTGCTTTTTCAATGCTGCCGCCAGCTAAATAAGTGAAAGTGGTGGTGAGACGACTTCGCTTAGATTTCTCCCAAATTGATTGTCATTAGTGTTTTTGCTGTTGAGATAGCTGGGTGTGGGGGGTGGGGGGTAATTTCATCGCTTCTGTCTTCTCTTTGTTCCTTTGATGTCTTTACTCTTCACTGCTACTTCTGCCAACTTGTTGATGTTCGTCTGTAAATCATCAGTGATACCTGACAATATCTCCTACTTTTCCCTGATAACTGCAGTGAAAATGTCTTTTGTAGTTTCATCTGTCAATTTTTAAGTGTTCAACTTGAATCGCAGTTAATCTTCCAGCTTCTTTGAAGGTTTTCCTGGATTGCTTAAAAAAGACTATGTCATACTTCGTAGAAATCTGAAGACTTTGTATTACATAACAAAATAGGGAGTGAGTTGAGTAATGATCAGGTAAAACCTTACATTTTTCTTCTAAAAAGAATAGAAGATATAGATGAATAATACATGAGCTAACCAAGATTGTAACATCTCGTTTTGTACGTTTAATCACCTTCGCGTTTCTTACACCCTTCGTACATTTTTGACCTTGCTGTTCTTCATCCTCTACGTTAAGTCGAAACGGTTGTCTTCTTTATTTTGAAGTGAAGACTGGAGGCAGACATTGCTGATGTCTACTATCAACGATGGTATTTCTGACTCTGATGGACTGGATTGTGCAACAGATTGCTTGCGTGAAGCGTAGAAATCGGAATACGCTCTACGCGGGATTAACCATGACTGTCTTTTTCTCAAGGCGCTGTCTTTTCACCCTTTCTATTATCTTTCTTCTTGTATGACTTACCTCACTCTGATAACGAAATGAACTTTGTTAAGTATGCCGATGATTTAATTATTTCAATGTCTGTTAACTCCCAGCTGGACTGTACTAAGATGATCAGCTTTCTATCGCGAGTCAGCAAATGGTCTTCTTCTAATGGCCTCAAACTAAATCCTTCCAAATGTCAGACTGTTAATTTCAGTTTCCGATGTAAAAGACAGTTAAATGAAGCTGTTGGTTCCTATGATCCTTGCAAAATTGATGATATTGATATAGAAACCAAATCTGAAGTTAAGTATCTTGGATTAATTCTTTCTTCTGACCTATCCTGGTCTTCCCATGTCTTAGCGATTTCTAAAAGAATATTTTGTCTGACTCTACATTAAGAAGTTAAGGCACCCAGTCATAACTCAATCCCTCGCCTTACAGTTTGTCAACTCGTTCATCCTTATTCTTTCCTGGATTGCTTAAAAAAGACTATGTCATACTTCGTAGAACTCTCAAAACTGTCGGTCAGTAAGGCAAGTGGTATCTCGTTGGGCCATATCGTTGACATTGTCACTGATTGGCACTTGATGTCATGCAAGAAATTTGCTAAAGGAATTTTTTCAGACTGTGAGCACCCACTCTACTCGCAGCTCCAACCTTGTGTCTTCTCCTCAGGTAAAACAAGAAGTCTTTTCAGAAGACTTTATACACGTACGTCTAAGTATAAAAATTCCACTGTACCATATTTAGCGGTACGTATTTTATGTGATGAAAATAGTGTCAAGCATGAACTAACTAACTAACCTTCTTTGCACTACTAAATAAACGATTTCCTTCACCCTTACACCATCAAACTTTATTGTTATTGTATTTCTTATATTTATAGTCTTCTCAATTTTTTGTTTTTATTTGTTTACTTTTTTCATAAGTGTGAACATCGTTTAAGCTGTATTACCACTGTTAATCTTGTATTTCCCCTCACCATGCTGCTATATCAACAGAACATTAGACTCAATACTCTATAGTAACATGCTAAAATTTTAAAACTGAAACGACAATACTGTTTGAAACAAACTCACTGTTATTATTATTATTACATTTAATAATCTCCATTCGTGCTTCGAATATTTTTGACTTTATATTGTAAATGTGGACAAATTCCTCTGGTTACTTTTGTTTTAATTTTTAATTTTATTTATATTTTGAGTAAATCAGATGCAAGGTGTTGTGACAAATGCTGAGAATTCCATTCTGTATTATAAGTACTGCCTGCTTTGGAATAAAGTAGATTATTATTACTGTTCAACTTGTTCCTGAAGGTTCCTTATTCACTAGATAATAAATACTCCTAGCCTACTAAAAGCAAGTGCCATAATACTTAACAATTAATGCCCAATTACTCTGTCTACTGTGTGTTATAATAATTTGTGTATTTTTTGTTTTGCTTTCAGATTGGAGATTATGTGGATTGTGCTATTGTTGAATATACTCCAGGTTCTTTAGGCGGTTGGTCTTCAGGACGTCGTCCATTAGGCCCTCCACCACCATCACAGCTTACTGCATCTGATTCACGTAATTCTGCACTAGAAGAAGCACGAATGATATAAAATAATGAGAAAGAACGATAAAAAAAGAAAACAAAAGAAAAGCGGACAACAACAACACAATTGTAAAATTATTCTCCCAATCGAATTTTATTCCACCCTTTCTTGTCTGTTCGTTTGTCTTTTTTGTCTTTTGTTTTGTTTTTTGTGAATAAAAGGCAACACCCTGTTTTTCCTCTTTCTCTTCTTGTTTTGTCGTTTCTCTTATTGTTTAATATGTTGGTTCCAAAGTTGTGTTCATATTGAGTTGCAGTTAGTTAGTCAGTTGATAGCTTGACTGATTGTGTTGTTCTGTCTGTCTGTCTGTTTTCGACATAGAACTTTGCACCCGATGTGCGGCAGTTCAAGTTGCCACACTCCCTCCATGTAGCACACAAAGAAAGAGAAGAAAGTACAAGAAAAGTATAATAGAGACAGTAAGCAGAAGTGTGAGACAAAGGAGGAGTAATAACGAAGAACAAGACAGTTTCATTGGAAATCATAAGTCATAAGGAGTGGATGTATCTGCGCCACTGAGAACGATTTTGAGCCGTGTCACCAGTGCATTCCATGACTAATTAGTAGGAAAATGACCAGTGTCACCTTTCTAGTCTTTCTTTATCTAAGTGAAAACTGAATTCTATGTGACATATTTCGCTGTCATATTTGCTGATGATAAGCAAGAAAACTAGGCCCATGGCTTTCCATAGATTCCCTTCAATCACCTAAAATCGGCTTGAAATACACCGCATGGGTCAGCCACCAAGCGTATTGGCTACCATGGATTTTGACTGAAAGAATTCAGTAAGCAACAACTTTAGAAGAGGACTAGAAACATGAAATTGATTACCTCGTTGACAGCAATCAATATACTGAAAGAAGTGGGCAAGGAGCAAACTACCTATCTCACGTTTGCTTCACTACTACCTAGTCATTTTTCGACAAATCGTTTCAAACTACTAACTGCTGAGTTCAGTAGTATATTTGTTAACTAAGCATTCTTCTCACCTTATCATGAGAAATCGTGTTAAATTTTATGAATACCCAACCAGCTAAGATAAATATATATCTTGAGCAAAAATTGAAGCTATTTCATTACGCCATCATATGACGGTTAAATTAGTTCGCCATGTTATCTAGTCTTCATCGGGATGGGCTCGCTAACCTTACTCCCACTTTTCCCTCTTCAAATGGCTTACTGGTGGCTTTGCAAGGTGTAAGGACGGCGTCGGCCGCCAGTATATACCCGGACCAAGTGCATGTTTGGCGAGCGTTCTACCGCTGAACTACTATATATGTATATGTTGAGGGTAATTGTCTTCACATTTCTGACTTGCTGGATCCTACTGATTACAACTTTTTACGCGAACTTCAGGCAGTTTCATCTTGTAGTCAGTCACTAAACTTATTGGATTTTTCAATGGTTATCTAACTGAAGTCAATTCTTGATCAGTCTTGAAATCATTCAATTGCTTACTAACAAAATCTTGGGTTATGTATCAGTAGAATTATTTATATGACTAAAATAGCATTCAGGAGTGATAAAAAAAAGAGAACTTTTTACACTGAAACTAAAATTTGCTTATAGTATTCGTGTATTCTTCTTCTTCTTAACGCATTTCTCTCTCCTAGTGGCAACCTCATGTATTGAAGATTTTTTGGCAGAAACCACTACACAATATATACTACTTATAACTTTTTTTCAGTAGCACGTACCGCAATGCTAACATTCATGTCAATGAGTAATGTTTGTTGTCTAAGTTGAAGGGATAAAAACAGTGTATGAAGATTCAGGTGTTTTGGAGCTGAGATCATCAGGATTGATTACATTATTTTCTGGCAGTAGTCTCAAATAGTAACCAAATGAACAAAACAAAGGGATGCAGTGACGGGAATAGATCCTTGTAAGGAATATCATGGATTTTAATCCTCAGTAGCTTATAGCAATCTAGAAAGAGGGAAACTTAGCAAAGCTAATATAATGCACTGAAATCCTTGTGTAAGAAGAAGGAATAAATAATTAGAGTTCAAGTGTTGGTTTGCAGGGATCGGGGCTGGTTACAGAATTTCATCAAGTGCTGAAATCACCACGGGAAAACAAGCAGGGAGTACTGGAAAGCTGTTTTGCTCTACTTCAGGACTCTTTATCAGCACGAACTCGCTAGGGATCGAATGCTGGACCTTTGGGTTACAAAGTTAGCTAATAGATCATTGGTATAGTTTCTAGTGGCTTAACTGTCAAGTATTTCCCGGCTTTCGAGTGATTCCCTTACCGATGTCAGCTCATGATGAAATCCTGTAACTAATTGGAGATTGGCGAGAAGAAATCTGAGAAATCTTGTTAACACTCTGGGGTGAATAAATTTGTACCAGCTACATGATGATGATGATGATGTCACATGGCAAGTGAATCACATTGACTACCTCACGGAAGCCTGTGAAGCGAAGACTGGAGTAATAATACAAGGCTGCCTTCTATCATCAATGATATTCCCTATTGTGGATCTTGAGAAAGATGGTGGGAATTAAGAGGATTGGTATAAATTAGAGTGACAAAACACCTACGAAGATTTGGACTTCGCGGATGAGTTATGTCTCGCAAACTCAAAGATTTTCAAACGAAATCCAACAAATCGGCAGGAGAGGCATCAATGCTCAGACTGCAAACGAAGATGCTGAAAATGGTGGTGTGGCATGTGCTACTGATAAGATTTATCAGTATTATATAAGGAGACGTTCATGGATATAAGAACATCAAATTGCAGGGGAGACAGGTTTGATGCCAAAGAAAGCAAATGATACAGCGTTGCGGAGATACGCGGGAGACGCAGCCAACAACAAACACCAGTAAATGTCAACGAGAGGAAGCTGAGTGAAGTCATCTCTCTCTCTCTCGTATATTCAGCTGTGTAGCGTTGTTTCAGCCAAAGACGGCATAGATGACAGTGTCAAAGCCAGCCAGCCAGACTAGGGGAATGCGATCAATATGGAGACATTCAGTAATAATAAGATCCCGATTTTCAAAATTGATCTCATATAGGGTAGCTGCCTGGACGGAAAAGATAAACAATAAACCACTTTGGTAGACAGCAAACCACACAACAAGAACCCATTGCCCAACAAGTATATAGAAATGAGTCGAGGTAGATAGGAAATATTCTGAGAAGACCACTGACTGTGATATCCGTCATCAAATCCTCACGGGGAAGCCCGAATGGAAACAACGAGTTGGACGTCGAAGAGTGAATTGCGGAAGATCATGTGGAGTGAAACTGAAATTTTTTTGGAAATCGTATATACAGCTAAACAAGGCTGAAGAGAACGGATCGCAGTTGATATTCGCCAGTTACTCTGTCTTATGTCTTGTAGAAGTGGTCTACAGAATTTAACAGACGGTGAAGATTAGGTAATATGGTGAAATAAATCCTATGACCCAATGTGTATATTCCGTAATTTAACTGTCTTTTGACAGTACAATGAAGCGACTTAAATTTTGCCCGAAGACGTATGTATATCTTAATTGATATCTTGGATATCCGTAAAATTTAATACAATATCCCATAGTAAACTTGACCAGGGTAAGAAGAATGCTCAGTTAACGAAATATACTACTGAACTCAGTAGTTAGTAGCCTAAAATGATTTGTCGAATAAAAACAAGGCTGTAGTATAGCAAGCGTGAGATAGGTATTATGCTTCTGTCGATCTAAGCCCCTCCCTCACTCGTGTATCTGGCCAAATTCACTTTGAGTTCTCCAGATGGACTGAATTCTGGTATCGGAATATATAGTCAAGTGGCATAAGTTGTTACGTATAACAGTTGACTTCTTTGAGTACATTGATTACTCACTATGAGGTAATCAATTTCATGTTTCCAGTCCCCTTCTGAAATTATCGTTTATTGAATTCTGTCAGTGAAGTTTCATGGTAGCCACCATGCTAGGTGGTTAGCCAATGAGGTGTATTCTGAGTCTCTTTCAGGTGGTTGGATGCAATCTATATGAAGGTATGGTCTTAGGTTTCTTGCTTATCATCAGCTATTTTGACAGAGAAACCTGTTACATAGAATACAGTTATCACTCGAACAGAGGATTAAAAATATGTCAATGATTATTTTCCTAGTACCTTGTCATTGAATCTACAATGAGAGGTCAATTGTGAGTCCGAATGGTGTAGTGATAACACCTGTATTATGGGTTTGATTCTAGGAGGGGACATCAATTCACTTCATGTTGCAGATGAGCTTTGCTGACGCGTTCCAAGAGACGCAAAACTCAGATCTGTAGCCTTCTGTCAATCGGTTTCAACCAATTGAACGAAAATTCCATGTGTAGTCAGTTTTCAAATGCAATCCAAGCTTATAAGTGGTTACTTTTGAATAGAATAGCGATATGACTGAAATAGGTGCTTGACTGACTGTCTTGAAAATAGAACTTTGTCCACATATGCAGCACTTCGAGTTGCCACTCTCCCGCCTTGTAGCACACAAAGTAAGAGAAGAGAGTGTAAAGAGTTTCTAAAGAGAGAGAGAGAAGTGTATAAGAGGCAAAAGGTATAGTATTATGGGAGAACGATACAATTTTATTGGATATTATAAATCACTCTGAGTGGCCGCCTTTGCATTAGTGAGTACGATTTTAAGCTATATCATCAATTGCCTCCAGCCATTGGTGTTTGTCATCGCGAAGTTTACACCTCCATACGTGGCTTAAACTAACTGTTATGGATTCCATTGACTGATGAAGTCATGTTTTGGTTTGACCATCCACCACTGGCTCTTTTCTAACCCGATCCATCCAATATCAGTCAGCTAACACTGCCTGTCGTTGAGGAAGGCGATGGCTGGGCATGTATAACACACATATCCTAACCATCTCAGTCGGGATAACTTACAACCTCATCGATTGATTTCCTCTCCTCACTTAGCACTCGACAGACGCGTAACCTCAATATTGCTCACTTCATGTATCACACACATCCATAAACAGCTGAGCAGTACACACATATTTTTATTCGTCTATCAATATGGCAAGGTGGAAATTGTTATCAGATGAGAAAGAAAGCGCATACTCTCTGGATATCTTACGGAATACCTGTCACAATGACTATCGAAAAGACAATACTAAATGAGTTTAGAAATTAGAAGACTAAATTACTAATTCTAATTTATTATTGACAATCGAAATCAATACACAGAGAATAAAGTCCAATTACTGTTTAATTTTAACTATTTGTGATAATGTGGGTATGCACTGTCTTTCATGTAGTGCAGTAAGTAATCCTGAGATTAAGCGTAGAGTGAACAAGTCATTCGATGAGCTTGTCAAGCTACTTTTATTAAGATACCCAGGACAGGTGTTATGCCAGCCATATCGCCTGCTTCCTCGAACGAGTAATGATAGTTGATATAGGATTTTCTCAGTCCTTTACATTCCCAGTGGAACATAGTGAGGGCTTCATGCTAGAGGCTTGAAGTTTATGTAGCAGTGATGATTATTTTTACAGGATAGGGTTGCTAGCCAGCCTCATGCCCAACCTTCCCTCTTTACTAGTCTTATTACTGACTTTGCGAGGTAGAGAAGTGCCTCGTCGGCCAGTGATCGCGCCCTGAATCACATAAGGTGTGGTTGGCGAGCATTCTACCGCTGTGCCACCGACACACTAATATAGGATTAGAACAAGACATATGTATATAAGCGAACAATACTACTGTTTTCAATTAGATCTTCTTCAGGCTTTATTCTAATTCACATAGAATTATATATAAGACAATTTAACCAATGACGGTGATTTCGTGGATCAAATAATAATAATAATATACTAAATGTTTTGAACGTCATTAATAACGATGATTATAATGATAACAAAATAATGATAACAAGACTTATCCAGGTGGTGATAAGAGTAACAACAAAGATAGTAATATGTGTATGTATATGTAGACAATTCAATAATAAACAAATTAGGTCAAATCCTAAAAGTTACGTAATACTAAGGGCAGGTGAAGTGGACAGATAATCAGAGTTTAAATGAATATCATAAAAGTACGAAGGAGATGGAAAATAAGAAAGGGTGGGATGGTTTTGAATAGAATTCACTTAGGCTAAACAAGGAAGAACAAACTTCTTTCATATGCAAAGACGATGAGGATTGTTCTCTTGAATTAACTCACATAACTTCGGCTATGTGTAAAAGGCGGGTTCGAATTCCATTCGAAAGGCTCGCTGGAATGTGGGATAGATAACTTTGAAGGCACTTCTTCTGTCCACTTGGTGACTGCCATCATCAATCAAATATGACAAAATAGAACTTTCTACAGATTTCACTTGATCTTTTTTTCGAACCATAAAGGAAGATGTTTTCGGGAATACGTTTGTCATTCACTTTTCTGTCTGGTTCTAACATAGGATTAGGTTGAGAAAGTTAGTGATGGTTAGACCAGGGCCTGACTTCAGTCCATGAAGTCTCTAACAGTTGTTTTCAGCTAGCCAAGTAGAGAGGTGTAGACCGTCTGGATGGAGTCCTTCCAATCGTACAAACTAATAGCTGGAGACTATTGTGTATTTAGCTCAATGGCCGTAATTTCCCATATCTATGAAATAGACATACTTTTACAATTCTACTATTCTTTCTTTCTCCCTGACATTTCTTCTCATTCTAATTGTTTTGGACTATTCTCTCTCTTACTGTTGTCTAACTTTATGTTCTACTTGGAGTGTGACAAATTGAAGTGTTGCAATTCTGTGCAAAGTTCTATGTTCAAACTCTGCCAGTCAGTTAGTCAATCAGTCAACTGAGTATGTCCCCAAGTTAGGTGATATTACCTTCCAGAGACAAATGAAATCTCAAGAAGTATAAAACTTGGGCACTCTGATGGTAGAGTATAACTCCATTATAGATAAGATTTTCAAGTATTGGTTTCGTAGGGATTTCGTTTGATTGCATGGAGGATTTCATCGTGAGCTGATATCATTTAGCGAATCACTGGAAAACCTGGAGTACTGAACAGCTGTTTTGTCCTGGTTTGGGACTCTTCATCTGTACGCACCCACCGGGTTTCGAACCCAGGACCTTCCGGTTACAAGGCGAGGTCGCAGACCATTAAGCCACTGGGACCTGATCCAATTCAAGGACCATTGGATTGGGTCCCGGTAACTCAATGGTCTACGAGCTCGCCTTGTAACCAGGAGGTCCTAGGTTCAACCCCGGTGGGTGCGTACTGATGAAGATAATATTTTATTTGGATCAGATCACACAGTGTTGTTATACAGTAATATTTACTGATGATCACCCTTAGAGCACAAATTATCGCTGCTCATAATCATATCAAGGCACTACTCACACAACTTTTTTCCTTCATTTGTATACATGTGTGGAATCGATTAGATATTTTTTTTTGATTTACAGCTTGATTGCACACCGTATTTTTGGTACAAGTGTGGAATTTTCAGCGTGGATATCGGTAGCCCAAAATTCGTAGGCCGACCATAGATATCAGGTGTGCGTCGGTGTGGGCTCGAACCCCGGACCATGTGCATGGTCGGCGAGTGTCTTAACCACTGTGCCGCCGACGCACATTGGAATAAAAATCAATAAGATAAGATAATGTACATTCAGGAATAATAATATGAGTGTTATTGATCAAATGCAATCAGATGGGAAATAAGACGAGTGTTTTTTATAGTCATAATAAGTAACTAGTTAGAATGCTGTGATGTGCTTGAATTGAAATTGAATTTTGAGAGTATTTATTATCCTCTTGTGATTTGACTAACTGGTGGTGATAATATCTTCCATGCATATCTCTCGTATTTTCATTGAGTCATTTTTGTTGCTGCATATGTTGGGAATAATCCTGAATAATCCCCACCTTTTCACTTTATTCTCCCTAGTACTAAGGTTTGCAAGATGTCTAATGGAGGAGAATGGTGGCGTCCAACCAGTTTACCGCCTAGTGGATATCGACAAAAATCCAATGAGGCGTCAGAAGGCAATGCCTCATATTATCCATTTAGCACTGAGTTGGGCTATAGAGTATTTAAACGATTACTTGAAATAGAACGTGCAACTGATACACAACAAGAAAATAATCAAGTTTATAAAGTGAAAACAGTGAAACAAATCGATAGTGACAGTAATCATTTCTATTTGAAAGGATCATGTTCACAAAATCCTACGGTGAAAGAAGAAGATAAATGTGTACCATTCTATCGATCTGATGTTGATGATAGACTTGGTAAGTTCCATTGAAAGTTTTTAAAATCTAATTTGATTTCGAGCATTATTTACTGAAAATAGGGGGGGGGGGTTGTGTTAATGAAACACCTGGTAAAATAGTGACATCGGTAATACCCCTTACTATTATTATTATTGTTCCCTTGGGTTCCTAGTGGAACATAGGGCTTCAACTGCACGTCTCCACTTGCTTCTCTCTCTCGTGCTGTACTTTTCACCTGCATCCATGTTAGTTAATCCATACTCTTTCAACTCCTCTTCACACGATCTTCTCCATGTCACCTTTTCACTGACGACCCACTCGCCACTTCTTTTTCGGGTTCCACTCGAGCAATGGCCTGACGCGCGATGTCACCCAGCGGCCCAGCCTCCTCAGCGAGTGTCCAATCCATCTCCACTTTCTCCTGCATATTTGTTGGGCGAGCGACTGGTTCTTGTTTTGTTTGTTCCAATAGTTTCTTGTTGGTGATTCTGGTGATTCCGGCCATCTGATCTTCAGTATAAAGCGATAGTTGATATTTGTTGATAGGGGTCTGGAACAGGCTGTTGGAAATATTATTTTTGACCAGTTCGCCAAGTTTCTGATCCGCATAGAAGAACTGACTTACTTGTCGTTTGTATTGAAAATCCGACTGAATTTTGTTGTTGATGCTGAGTGACGAAGATTTCCAGATTAGTTTAACTTCTGCGGCTGCCTGGGCAGCCTTTCCAGTTCCGTACATTGTATGAACATCCCATGTGCCCATCCTTATTTTTGCTTCCATCGAAAGAAGGCACATAGGCTGACTGGCTTCCTGGAGGCTTTCACCGGCCTGCGTCATTTCACTTCTCCGATTCCAGCGAAAAATAAGGTTATTGTTTATATTTTTAGAATTTTTAATATATTTGTGCGTTCCCCCTTTATCCGGGCTTGGGACCGGCTAGAAAACTAGCGAGCTAGCAATCTAGGCGAGGTTGGTAATACTCCTTCCCCTGCCTTATTAGGTTCCAAGTGGAACATCAGTGGAGCGTCAGTAGTATTTCTCCATTCCCTTGTTGGTCTTCTCCTGTTATTTCTATCTCGCTAAACGACTGCCTACAAGCCTTCGTCTCCTGCTCACACGACCTCCTCCCCGCCATCCTCCAATGCCCAGCTCGTCGCCTTGTATTCGGAACACACTCGAGGACCTAGAGCCAATGGTCTCCTCAGCCTGCCTCCAGTCCAGTTCCATTTTCTTCGGTATAACTGTTCGGCAGTAGGTTATTGATTGGTGCATAGCCTTACAGAGTTCCTTGTCGCTTACCTTTCCTGGCTGGTCAAATGATCTACAGTATCTACCAAAGGTAGCAGGTTCGGTACTGAGAAATCTGTAGAAGCCTATTAGGCAAATACTTTTTTGTTTGGTAACACGTATATAAAGTCTCCGAACCACACAGAAAATCAAGACATCAGAATTTCCACCACTAATGTTATGTTAAGTGTACCGATTTCAGAACAGTGAAAGTTTGTCTTCCTTTTCTGATCCTCTTTGGCTTTGAAATGGTCATTCATGTCGCTTTTAGTTAAAACGATGTTGCACCCGTAGGAAGGTGAAAGAATAGACATTTTTCTGATATCTACTGTGGTTAACCATCGATATTTGTCGTTGCCGGTTATGTGTCATCATCACTTCTGCCTTCTCTGAAGTCTTCTGTTCTCTGTCGCTCCCTCCGCTAACTTGTTAGTTTTCTGTTTGGAGTCTTCAACTTTGTAAGACATCAGATATTATTATTATTATTCCCTTGGGTTTCGAGCGAAAAATAGAGCTTCAACATGACAGCTCTAGTTTGTACTGTTCAATGCAATTCCCTTCGATCTTCTGCAAGCTATCATGTCACCTATGTCAAACTTGAAGTGATAACCAGATCGTCGTTTACCATCCTAGGGCTTGTCGTGTAATGTCATTCGACGATCTCCTCACAATTTGTTCGACCCTTCTCCATTTTCTTGTACATGTTTGTTAAGGAACAGGTGCTTGATTGCTTCCTTCCCTGACAGACTTCCTTGTTACTAATTCGTTCTCATCCATCATCTGACCTTCAATATGGAGTCGGCGAAGGCAGCTGTCGACGAAAGTCTACAATCAGTTGCATATGCTCTTTATAACGTGCTTGCCATGTTTCCGACCCATTCGGAACAATCGGTTGACTTAATACTGTTATTGAAGATCCGAATTTCGTTACTTGTGCTGAGTGTAGAAGATTTCCAAATTGATTCCAGAATGATGAGAGTCTGCCTTGTCTCTCCAATCCTGTCTGCTTTTAACATCCTCATTCTTCTGAGTGGTCTGTAGTTCAATCGATGCTGTCTAGATAATTTTAGGAAGTGACCTCTCACATATGAAGAACAAAGCCGGGAATATTTTTCAAGTACAAAATGAAACTCCCAGTCTTGATTTCTGGTGGCTAGAGTTGTGCATGAGGACTGATGAGGAGTCCTAAACCAGTGCGAAACATTTGTCCCTTACACTTCCTGGTTTTCCGTGATGCTCTAAATGATCTTACTTCTTGATCTTGCTTGACATTAATCAAATCGCGGCAAGTCAACACACTCGTCGAAAATTGGTCTAGTGTCCACCAGTGATTGAATATACCATAAAGTCACCTGAAGTCTGACCAGCGGAGTCCACCAAGTCGGATGTGAAAGCAAATACTCACCTATGATATTAGCCAATGGTCGCTTCATACATATTGCGAAATGACCGAAGTTAGAATTCATCTGTCAGCCATCGGATCTGGCAGACGAGTCCCAAATAAGACGAGATGCGCTTTATCCTGGATTCCACTGCTAGTCACCATCCACCAATTAAATTCTACCTAAATGCCCAGGCATCGTTGAAGCATCTGCACAAGAAGCCGACATGCCAGCCTGACACCTAGCACTTCGATATAATCAATGGGCAGGAAAATCTAAAATTCAATTAAAACAAACATTTAGAACAACGCATTTAAGCGAACATTATCGCTGTTTTCAATTAGATCTCATCAGGCCTAACTCCAATATATATCTACATAACTACAAATAAAAATTCAAATATAAACCAATCATGGTGTTTTGTCTATAGGATAATACGATGGTGAACATAAATTGTGCAATTAATCATAATAGTAGTAAAGATAATAATAATAATAATAATAATAATAATAATAATAATAATAATAATAATGGTCTTATCGATAATAAGGATGAAAAAGTGAGGCAATCTGTGATAACACCAATAATGAAAAACAGCACGATTAAAAACAAATAAATGTTCATGTGGACGTAGTAGTAGTCGATAAAGATTAGTAAAAACAAATGAACCGATTAAGTAATGTTAGATTGTAAGGGAAGTAAACAAAACACGGTTTTAATGAAGATGTGATAAGATTAAGGGATGATAAGAATGGAGGCGTTGAAAATATAAGTAAGGCAGGAGTGGCGTAGAAGATTTCAGTTGGTTATGTCTTAATAGGCCAAGCAAGGGAGGATAATGGCTATACGAGCTTCTTTGGAATGCATAGTTTAGGGGATTGATAGCTATTCGAATGTCTACCGCATCAGCTATGTGTGTGTGTGTGTGTGTGTGTGCAGTAGACGAATACGAAGTCTATTGGAAAGATTCGGTGGGATACGATGAATTACTTTGAAGGCTGTCGATTTCTCCACTCTATATGACCACTATCAACTAAATGTGACAAAATTGAGCTACGAATTGTTTTTGTCTGTACTTTACCACCATAATTGGTTTATATTTGAATTTTATTTGTAAATTTATGTAGGTATATTAGAGTTAAGTCTGATGATGAGATGTAATTGAAAACAGAGGGTAATAAATAATGTTAAAATGTATTTCAATTCATATTATAACATTCTAACAAGTTACTCATTTTTACAGCTTATTTCCCATTTCAATGTATTATACTAATAACACTAATATTATTATTTCTGAATGTATTATTTTATTATTTTTTATATTTTTGATTACAGCTTCATTCCACACCGTATTTTTGGTACAAGTGTGGAATTTTCAGTGTGGATATCCATAGCCCGAAATTCGCAGGCCGACCATAGATATCAGGTGTGCGTCGGCGTGGGCTCGAACCCCGGACCATGTGCATGGTCGGCGAGAGTCCTAACCACTGTGCCACCGACGTACAGCATCTTATATTGATTTTATTCAATCAAATTTCTAATCATCAATTTTTATTCATGTACATAAATGAAGCAAGAAATTTGCGTGACTAGTGCTTTGATGTGATTATGAGCAGTAATAAATTGAGCTCGAAACGTGGTCATCAGCTAATATTACTTACTGTATAACAACACTGTGTGTGATTTTATCAACATAAAATATTGTCCATAATGGAGTTATACTCTACCACCAGAGTGCCCAAGTGTTATCCTTATATCAGCATTTTACACAGTAAACCTAATGTTTGTAATTCTCTAGCCAACGAATGATTGAGAGGCAAACGAAGGATAGATAGCTAGATAGTTTTGCCACATCTATGTGCATTTATTAATCAGTTAAACTGCACCTGTGGTGGCAGTTATGTTGGGCACACTACTACTCGCCAACATGCCATTACTAAACATCTTCCATCGTGGTGGTTTGGCAAAGGACAGACAAAAACAATTCGTAGCTCAATTTCGTCACATAGAGTTGATAGTGGTCATATAATGTGGTGAAAACCGAATCTTTCCAATAGACTTCGTATTCGTCCACTGTACACACACACACACATAGCTGATGCGATAGGCATTCATATAGCTATCAATCCCCTAAACTATGCATTCCAAAGAAGCTCGTATAGCCATCATCCCTCCCTTGCTTGGCCTATTAAGACATAACCAACTGAAATCTTCTACGCCACTCCTGCCTTACTTATATTTTCAACGCCTCCATTCTTATCATCCCTTAATCTTATCACATCTTCATTAAAACCGTGTTTTGTTTACTTCCCTTACAATCTAACATTACTTAATCGGTTCATTTGTTTTTACTAATCTTTATCGACTACTACTACGTCCACATGAACATTTATTTGTTTTTAATCGTGCTGTTTTTCATTATTGGTGTTATCACAGATTGCCTCACTTTTTCATCCTTATTATCGATATGACCATTATTATTATTATTATTATTATTATTAATATTATCATTACTACTATTATGATTAATTGCACAATTTATATTCACCATCGTATTATCCTATAGACAAAACACCATGATTGGTTTACATATTTGAATTTTTATTTGTAAAGTTATGTAGGTATATATTGGAGTTAAGCTTGATGATATCTAATTGAAAACAGCAATGTTGTTCGCTTAAATGTGTCGTTCGAAATTTTACTTTGGGAATATTCAATAAACTTTAATTTTATCTTTTTGTTTCATACATTTGGTCCCTTTGATATATTTCGATAGAGAAACTAAGACGAGATTTGCAGTATAAAATGTGATATCATCATTCTATTTCACAGGTTCTCATCACCTGCTGTTGACTACCTGAAATTACAATGGTTATCAATAATAACATTGCATACTTCATTGTTTGAAAGGTAATAAAGAAGACATTATAAGGTGAATGCATCTGGAATATAAGTAAGTACATTGGAATGAGATAAGGAAGGGCTTCTATCCGGTTTTTCAAGAGCATATTCCGAGAAACTTATGCTTAAAAGGAAGCAGATATTTACAAAGTGCAATCACCAGACACCCACTCTGTGGATATAGGTCATTTTGTCGAGATTTCCAAATCCTTCAAAATTTTTAACATACAAAGGACATCAAATCTACTACGATTTACTGCTGAAGCAATTGCAATCAAACGTCACAGACCAAACTTAAGCAGCATACAGAAAGAGAGTGTAGTCAATCTCTCACTCCCTTGGTAACCATATCACTTTCATTACACTGATTAGTCATACACACTAGTGGGCTCAACTCATTAAGCAAGTTTTGATGAACTTTGACCCTCTTGAGTTGCCATGTTGACAATGTTTATTAGATTTTTCTGTTTTCCGTTTTCTCTCACCTACCCCCTCTTTTTTCTTTTTTCATAGTCTGATCGTATATAAATTAATGGTAACTTAAACTATAAATTGTAATACTTATATTCGAGATGCGTTCACCTTATAATGTTTTCTCTATTACCTTTCAAACAATCAAGTATGAAATGTTATTATTGATAACCATTGTAATTTCAGGTAGTCAACAGCAGGTGATGAGAACCTGTGACATAGAATGATGATATCACATTTTATACTGCAAATCTCGTCTTAGTTTCTTTATCGAAATTTATCTTTTTATTATTATTATTATTCATATAAGTGCGTCGGTGGTACAGTGGTTAGGACTCTCGCCGACCATCCATATGGTCCGAGGTTCGATCCCCTGCCGACGCACACCTGATATCTATGGTCGGCCTGCAAAATTTGGGCTACCGAAACCACTTGCTGAAAATTCCATACTTGTATCAAAAATACAGTGTGGAATCAATCTGTAATCAAAAATAAAAAAAAATTAATTAATTAAAAAATAACCTTTCCATAATAGTGTTTTTATTATTGATTGTATTATTATTATTAGTTCAATCAAACTATCAGTCAACTCCGTGGTCCAATGAAACAATATCAGAAGAGTTTCATCTGCATTTACGATGTGATATCGATTTCGACGACTTTGAGTGTTAACTCATTACAAACCCAAAAAGAATACGATCATGCTGAACATCTCGTTCTTGTTTGTTGCATTGTCTATATTTCAGTTATTAGTAAATACTAAAAACCCAAAAAGGAGAACTGTTTATTTTGCTTATTTGTTTTCAAATATCCTCACCTTCCTCTGTTCATATCTGTTGCAACTAGTGCTTACTCGATTTCTGATTTTGTCTTGACCAGTACGTTGCAGCAGCTAGGGTGTGTGGGGGATAAATACTCGCCGTGGATGACACTGATTAGCTGTCGCTCTATTTAGTGAATTGGTAGAAGTTGGAGTTCATGGACTGGTCACTGGATTGAATCCTATTGGCCCAATGGTCTATGAGCTAGCTAGCCTTGTAATCAGAAAGTCCTAGGTTCGAATCTCCTGTGGTGTAGATGCGTACCCCTGCAGAGTCACTAACCAGGACGAAACAGCCGTCCAGTACTTCTAGCTGGTTTTCCAGTGGTTCTCTAACCGATGTCAGCTCATAATGAAATCCTGTAACCAATCAATTAAACCTCCCTACAAACCAATACTTGAATATAATAGAAATCTATTAATCATTGTTGCAATTTCGCCACTGACAACATTGTTAGCATGACACTACAATAGGGTCTTTGGAACTTGGTGTTTTGGAGTTTTATCAGTGAAAATCTTATCTTACCTCAAATTCAGTGTTATTATCAATCTCTTCGGTTCCGAATGGAGTACTAGGCCTCAAAATTACACCTCTACTTTATCTTGTTCTCTGGAGTAATCGTTTTCTTTCTCCACGACTACCTACAAACTAGCTGTCATCTTCTCTACACACGATCTTTACTCCTTGTTACTCTCAGAGTGATATCTCCTCGCCATCCTCGTTTCTTTTGACATACTTGTTGGCCGATGAGTTCTTGCCAAAGTTCCTTGCTCACTGAAGTATTTCAACAATCGCTAGTAGACTTTTTAAAGTTAACATTTTGCCAGTGTGATTACCATGCGGAACATACTACTTGCAAATAGAGTAGTGTAATAAGTAGAAGCGATGAAAATTATAATAATCTACTTTATTCCAAGACTAACAGTACTTATAGTTCAGAATGGAAATCTCAGCATTTGCCACAACACCTTGCATCTGATTTATTTAAAATATAAATAAAATTAAAACAAAATTAACGAAAGGAATTTGTCCACGTTGACGGTATAAAGTTAAAAATATTCGAAGTACGAATTGAGAATATTAAATATAATAATGATAATAATAATAATAACGATGAGCTTGTTTCAAACGGTATTGTCGATTCAGTTTGAAAATTTTCGCATGTTATGCAGTATTGAATCTAATGTTCACTTGATATAGCATGGTGAGGGGAAATACAAAATTAACAGTTATTCGCACAGCTTAAATGATGTTCACACTTATGAAAAAATAAACAAAAACAAAAGATTTCAAGGATTATAAATATACGAAATAAAATAACAATAAAGGTTGATGTTGTAAAGGTGGAGGAAATCGTTTATTTAGTAGTGCAAAGAAGGTTAGTTAGTTAGTTCATGCCTGACACCATTTTCATCACATAAAGTATGTGCTAAATATGGTATAGTGGAATTTTTATATGTAGACATACATGCATAGAGTCTTCTGAAAAGACTTCTTGTTTTACCTGAGGAGACACAAGATCGCAGTTGGGGGTGAAGTGGACAAAATTCCTTTAGCAAATTTGTTGCATGACATCAAGTGCCTGTCAATGGCGATATGGCCCAATGGGATAGGATACCAGTCTCCCTACTGACTGTCTTCAGAGTTCTACGAAGTATGACAGTCTTTTTTAAGCAATCCAGGAAAGAAAAAGTAAGGGTGAACAGTAAAAAAGAATAGGTAAGATGCACGAGTTTACAAACTGTAAGAGGAGGAGGGATTGAGTAGTGCTCGAGTGCTTTTAATTATTAATGTAAAAATGTAGACGGAATAGATTTTTAGAAATCGCTAAGACACGGGAAGACCAGGATAGGTCAGAAGAAAGAATTAATCCAAGATACTTAACTTCAGATTTGATTTCTATATCACTATCATCAATTTTGCAAGGATCATAGGAACCAACAGCTTTATTTAACTGTCTTTTACATCGGAAACTGAAATTAACAGTCTGACATTTGGAAGGATTTAGTTTGAGGCCATTAGAAGAAGACCATTCGCTATTTACTGATATAAGCTGATCACCTTAGTACAGTCTAGCTGGGAGTTAACAGACGTTGAGATAGTTAGATCGGCAGCATATTTAACAAGGTTCATTTCTTCATCAGAGTGAGGTAAGTCATACAAGAAGAAAGAAAATAGAAAAGGAGAAAGGACAGCCCCCTGAAGGACGCCAGCTTCACTAAGCAATCAAGTAGACAACCTCTCCTGACATACAATGTACTGCCTATGTGGTAGAATCAAATGCATGAATATGACGGTGACAAAGTGAAAAGAATCCATTAAGGAAAATCAGACGAGGGAGACATTCTTATGGTGGTATATGATATGAGTAGTTGCGTGCTACTTACGTCAACCAGTGTTATGCTCGCTGGCAAGCCATAGAGAAGTGACAGTCGTTTTTTCTTGTTTCCGACAGGGCTCTTCATCGGCCTGCACCCTGTTTGACTCAACCTAGAAAGCTAAATCTCCTCACACAAAGTAAATTCTGGCTAGCTAGGGACATTATTAAGATTACTGTTTTAGAATTTTCACATCTGCGTTAAAGTTTATAATATCCTCAATGAGCATTAGATAGTATGTATCATCACCAGCGGTGTTGCTCACTTCGTGTTCATATGCTCATATTCCTGTCCAGTGTAATCACTTTCCACACCGGCGTATGCATAAAAGCCAACGTCTACAAATAATTCATCCTAATCACTCCTAACTATCTAGCATTCAGGATCGATGCTACAAGGGATAGAACGCTGGATCTACCAATTTCGAGGTAAATTTGTGTACAAATCAATACAAAAGACAGATTAGTCCGTCCCGGTGAAAATAAATCGATTTCATTACACAAAAGTGTATATATAAATATATGCACCTCAAAATGCTAAGCCTACAAATAATCAATCACGTTTTAATTGAATTTTTGATTTTCCCGTCGATTGATTGGACCGAAGTGCTCGGTCTCAGGTTGACATGTCGGCTTCTTGTGCAGATGCTTCAACGATGTCTGGCCATTTAATTAGTATTTAATTGGTGGATGATGGTGAGTAGCAGTGGAATCCAGGATAAAGCGCATTTCGTCCTATTTGGGACTCGTCAGCTGGATGTACATGCATTTCTCCTAGTCACCATCCACCAGTTAAATACTAATTAAATGCCCAGACATCGTTGAAGCATCTGCACAAGAAGCCAACAGACATGTCAACCTGAGACCGAGCACTTCGGTCCAATCAATCAATCGACGGGAAAATGTCAAATTCAATTAAAATTAATATGACCCGTTGCACAAGAGGTGGCTGTCGTGGCGCTAGTGGTCTAGTGGATAACACTTTGGCGTTTGAAACTATGGGCATTGGGTTCGAGCCTCGGTGGGGACATCATCACTCACTGAGAAGTGCAGGCACATCCAGCTGGAGGGCGAGTCTCAAATAGGACGACATGCGCGTTATCCTGGATTCCATTGCTAGTCACCATCGACCAATTAAAACAATCACGTTGGTTGCGTAAGATCGGCCAATGTCATAAATATCCTGACACAGCCTAACGACTTTAAATTCATCCAAACTGCTCTAAACCTGTCTACATCTTAGCCATTTTCTACCAAAAAAAGTACAACGTGCTACTTTAAAGGTCTTTTCAGTAGCACACACACCATACTAGAGTAGACAATTCAATGATGGGATGGATGGATGGATGGTACACTCATCTGACAAGCTTAAAATAGAACCAATCTCGGTTTCCATCCTCATTTCTAGACTACTAATCACTAATATACCACTTAAGAAAAGCCTGAAAAATCGATTGATTCATGGTTTAAAACTAAAAAATCTTCCTTCTTTCCCTCTCTCCCTCCCTCCCTCTTTCCCAATTTCTCCACAAGATTTCCCTGTAGGATATAAATTCTGTCGAAAACAAAATTTTCAAAAAAATAGAACAGATTAAAAACACACAAATAATCTGGAATGTTGTGAGGGAAAAGAAGGAACCACAACATTGTTGAATATTCTGGGGATTTTTTTCATTTCTCAGCTGTTCTTCTTGTTGTTTTTTCTTTTTGTTGTAGAAATTTCATCTTACCAATTTTTGCTTTAACAAAAAAAAATATGACAGATGTTACACTTTATACGCCATCGAGATTTTATTTACGTCTTTATTTCTTGGCCAAATCTCACCAGATTTGCGATTGATTCTTCTTTCAAACACCCGCCCCCTCACCCACCCACTATTGCCAAGATAAAAAATAAATTTAAAAAGCATGAAATATTGTTTCTCTGTCTGTCTCGCTGTGTCTCACCCACTGTTTATGTCAGCCAATCAAGCTGTGAATTCTCAGCTCTAGTGTTGTTTTTCTTTCTTTTATTTTCTTTTTGAGGACTAGAAATCGATTGAACTGTTTTACAAGTGATCCCGTTTCGTTATTTTCTGATCGGGATGGTTTTTAAGTGTTCGCTTGCAGTTTGGGGGTAGGGGTGACGGGGTTGGTTTGGCTGCGTATTCATACAGATTACTATGGTACATTCTTAAATTCATACTATTATTATTATTGCTCTCTTGGGTTCCTAGTAGATCATAGGGCTTCAACTGCACGTCTCCACTTGCCACTTCAGTCTTCTGCTGTGCTTTTCACCTGCATCCATGTTAGTTAGTCCATACTGTTTCAACTCCTCTTCACATGATCTCCTCCATGTCACCCTTGTACCTACGTCCCATTCGCCGCGTGCTTCCCTTTCGGGTTCCATTCAAGCAGTGGCCTGACGCGCGCGATGTCATCCAGCGGTCTCCTCAGCGAGTGACCGATCCATCTCCACTTTCTCCTGCATA